GTTATTGACAGAGCTGGGGAAGGCTATGAAAAAGAAAGTTCTCATGCATAATGCCTGATAACAAAAATATCATAAAAGACTCTGGAAAAACTGCAGTCTTACCCAAACCTTGTAAGGCCATCACAATCTTACACAAAAAATACTTCTTTGAGGACATCTGCCCAGCAACTGCCTGTCCAATGTCAGACTGTCATAATCCTTATTATTGATCCTTGTAGCCAAGGATAATTATCTCAAAAATGAAGTAATCCTAATTTTCTAGAAAATTATTATTTGTATTCACTAGACAATATGCCTTACTCTTGAGGCTGCCTATAAGCTAATAACATTTTTTTGATAGAGAAGGAACTAGTGTTTATGTAAAAAGCCAAGAGTGGGAGGGGAGATGGTGCCTTGACATTTTTATTTTCTTGTTTTTTCTTCTTTTCTTTTTTCTTCCTTCCTCCCTCCCTCCCTTCCTTTCCTTTCCCTCTCTCTCTCTCTTTCTTTCTTTCCTTTCTTTCTGGAGTGGGAGGGGAGGTAGTGCCTTGACATTTTTATTTTATTTTTTTCTTTTCTTCCCTCCCTCACTCCCTCCCTTCCTTCCAACAGAGTCTCATTCTGTCACCCTAGCTAGAGTACAGTGGCATCATCATGGCTCACTACAATCTAAAACTCCTGGGCTCGAGTGATCCTCCTGCTTCAGCCTTCTGAGTAGCTGGAATTATTGTCGCACACTGCCACATCCAGCTAATTTTTTCTGTTTTTAGTAGAGATAGGGTCTTGCTCTCACTCAGGCTGGTCTCGAACTCCTGGCCTCAAGCAGTCCTCCCACCTTGGCCTCCCAAAGTGCTAGGATTACAGGCATGAGCCACATTGTAGGGTCTGTCTTGACATTTTTAATAGGTCCATCTTTTGGACACCCTAGCCAATGGTTAGCATCATAGCTGCAGTTTTTTAGATGTATGGTACTTTACATGTGTTTTCATGCAATGCCCCAGGAAGACAGGCATTATTTTCCCATTTCACAGAGGAAGAAGTAGGCTCAGGTAATATTTGACAAGGTCGCACAGCCATTAAATAAGGGAAAAACCTGAGATTCAAACCCAGATTTGTAGGATACCCCAAACCCAAGCAAGCTATTGGGCCATGCTGCTTTTCTGCATGAGGGAGAGAAAGAAGAGAGATTCTTCTAGCAAAGAGGCAAATAACTGGCAGAACCAAGGATTTATTCCTTACCTGAACACTCAGAAAGAGAAGCACATTTCCTTGGAGTATGAAGACAAAGTCAATCCAGTCTGCCTGAAATTTGGGAAAGCCCAAGGCTAACTCCATGGAAATTATGGATATAACTGTTTCCCCTTCTTCTAATTCAGAAATGGATAGGATACTCCATCGTACCCCCAACTGGAGGAGAGCCTGCAGTTACCTGCTCTAGAGTGAATGAGAAAAGTCTCAGGAGCAGGGGTGACTAGCCAGGCAGAAGGAACTTCCGCCACTTGTATATGAAAATTAAGTTTTTACATTTCCATTTGTTGTTAATTTACCAAATATTTATTGAGCTTCTGCATTAGTCTGGGAACACCATGAAACATCTGTTGTCTGCTTCTCATCGTCCAAGTTCTATTCTTCTCCCTCCACACCCCAGGATTTTCCTCCCAGTGTATGGCTGGCCACCCAGGAACTGTGAAGGCCACCTTTTCCCCCTTCCTCTGAAACTATCTCCTTTCTCTCCCTCCTTTACCAGCAACCAAACCCAACCCCACCCAATCTTTCCTTTGAGTGTCAGGGTGAATGCCATTTGCCCTTGTCCACAGCACAAGATGTAATTTGCTGCCTTCCTATTATCTCCATATTCTTTTGGAGCAAATTCCCCATTGTGTGAGGCCTTGATTCCAGAGCAATTGTTACTATATGTCTCTGCTGCACCCTCCAGTCACAGGAGTTGAGGAGCTCAGATCCTTCTTTCACTACCTTTGGGAAAAATATTCCAACTCAGCAACTCAGACCCTTAAACTCCCAGGAGTTTGAATCTTAGGTCAGACAGTATGCTGGAGGTTGGGCCAGTGGCAGTGCTAGGGCCACATTTTTTCCTAAGTCGTGAATTTCCTGTGGGTTCTGTGCCAAGTCTCTGGAGCTACCTCGATTCTGCAACTTTCTGCAGAATTACCAGCCTTAATTCTGTGAACTGATATCCTTCTATTTCTCTATTTGCTTCACATGACTACAGTTGGTCTCTGTTCTATGCAACCCAGAGCGTAACTGATGCAGTGAAACTTCCATCTATTCACCTAAACATGCAATAAGCATATTAAACATCTACCATGTCCCTGGCAATCTCAATGTCTGCCTAAGTGATTATGCAAACTGACTGGTGGCTGTATGCCTTTGTTTGGAGAAGACTAGAATATACACCCAGAATTAGCAGAACCACATTCTAAACTGCTTGAGAAACTTCTCCCAAAGTCCTACAGCTAGCCACTAGAATTTTCAGCAGCTAAAAATCATTAAAGCCATTGCAAGATAGAAATATTTCTCCCCTGCCAGATACTTAAATACACTTTGATAGAGGCTCTCTGAGGCATATAGTGGTTTATGGCTAGGAAACTTAAACCAGGTACGTTGGAAGGAAGCAAAGATTGGCCAAGGTATTTAGGACAAGTGCATCTTGTAGCACCTCTCAACTAATATTGTACCTATGAGTAATAACAACTTACCTGTAAGGGCACTTTGCAAACTCAGAAAAGCCTGGCAACTGAGGTTCTAGAAATGGAGAGTTTTCTTTGGTATTAAGAAGCTATCAGACCACCTGATTTTTGTTTAAAAACTAGGATTGCCTAAAAGTTACTAAGCATTTGGGCATTTTGTTTTGGGGATTCTTTTAGGAGTTCATCAAAGGAGGTCATAATTATTCCCAATTCCTCGACCTTCACTAGTAACCAACCCCAACTCCATCCAATCTCTCAAAATTCCTGCTATGCTCTGAATGTGCATGTCCCCCACCCATATCCCTGCCCCAATTACATGTTGAAATCCTAACCCTCAAGGTGATAGTATAAAGAGGTTTGTTCTTTATGAGCTACCCAGTGTATGGTATTTTGTTACAGCTGCCTGGACATACTAAGGCAATCTCTAAACATATATGTAGAGAATCTGAGAATGATAAAACATTCATCCTTGAGAGAAACAGACAATAGGTTATAGCATTGGTGTCAGAACAAAATCTCATTCAATTATGTTTCTTTATACTGAATGAAACTAGCAAGTAGTAGGGGAGATCTATATATGCATATATATTCACTCTTTTAAGGGTACCTAAGATTTGTTTTAATCAGGTATGGTAAGACAAGACACACAGATAAAGAAATGACTGTCATGACAGGATAAGTTTTTTATACTCTCAGATCCTTAGAAACAGGTGGCACCTCATGCCACGAAGGGGTTCAGGAGGGCACAACAGGGAAACAGCAGGGTCAGTCAGGGGACAGAAAGATAGAGGGGGAAACATGAACAAGAGACTTTACTGTGGTCTCCACGGGAAAGAACAGGCAAGGCAGGGTAATATTAATATGGAAATGTAAAGGACCTAGCATAACCAAAACAACTTTGAAAAAGAAAAACAAAGTTGCAGTACTTACACTACCTGACTTTAAGGTTTTATTATTAAACCTTAAAATAAAGCTACCATAATTAAGACTGTGTAGTTTTGTCATAAAGATAGTCATATAGATCTATGTAACAAAACAGAGTCCATAGCAGAGCCACACATGAATAGATTTTAGACAAAGGTGAAAAGGCAATTCAACAGAAAAATGATAGTCTTTTAAACAAATGGCACTGGAAGAATTGGATATCCATTTGCAAAAACAGAGAAAAAAAACCAAACACCTTGATATATACTTAGTACTAATTCAAACAAAACTTAACTCAAAATAAATTATAGACCTAAATGGAAGAACTAAAAGTATAAAACTTTTAGGATAAAACACAGAGGAAAATAATAGTGGCCTTTGGTTAGGAAAGCTCTTAGATATGACACCAAAAGCATGATCCATAAAAGAAAAATTTGATAAACTGAACATCAAAATTAAGAACATCTATCATTCAAAAGATACTGTTAAAAGAATGAAAAGAGAAGCTACAGACTCAGAGAAATTATTTACAAAGCATATAAGAAAACAATATATGAAAAAGATTTGAACAGATATTTCACCAACTTATAAAGATGGCATATAAGCACATGAAAAGATGTTCTTCATCAATAATCACTGGAGTTATGCAAATTAACACCATAATGACATACCACTATACACCCATTCATATAGTAAAAATTAAAAAGACTGACCATACTATGGTTGCCAATGATATGAAGCACCTGGAACTCTCATGCACTGCTAGTGGGAATGTAAAATTGTACTTTTTTTTTTTTTTAATAGGGTCTCACTCCGTCACCCAGGCTGAGGTGCAGTGGCACAATCATAGCTCACTCCAGCCTCTAACTCCTAGGCTCAAGAAATCCTCCTGCCTCAACCTCCTAAATAGCTGGGACTACAGGTGTGCACTACCACAACTAGCTACTTTTTCTATTTTTTGTAGAGATAAGCTCTCCCTATGTTGTTCAGGCTGGTCTTAAACTCCTGGTCTCAAACTCCTGGCTTCAAGCAATGGTCCTGCCTTAGCCTCCCAAAGCGCTGGAATTACAGGCACAAGCCACTATGCCCAGCTATATTTCAATAATCCTTAAAATGGCTCAATAGTCAAAAGAAATACATGGGCACTCAAATGGTTCAAACAAAACAAAAATCCTTGGTTTCATTTTATATTCTTGCTCTATCTCCAGTATATTTAAAAGTTAAACATTTTGATTTTTTTAAAACTCTCATTAAATTTACTCTGTGAGTTGAAGATTTCCTGAAGATAAGGATTTAAAGAGAAAACCAATGACCCTCCTAGATGAACAAAGCTATAACCCTCTGATTATAAACTTTCCATTTCTCTCCATGAAACAGACAAAGGCATCATTGTTCTCTAGTTTTATTATTTTTTAATTTTCCCAACACATGAACTATAACTCATTTTGAGATTTTCAGTGCATTTCACAGCAAAAATGAACAAGGGAATCATTAAAATGGTTGTACACAAACCAACCCTTTTTCTTATAATTTACAATTTGTTGAAAAAAATTTTTTTGCTGTTTTCATCCTATTAACCTCTCTAACAAAACACAATTTATCAGAGCACAAAGCTTGAAACTTCTTATGATGATGCAACAGACACAGCCATCTACAATGGCTGATGAATAACAGGTATATGTTACACACACTGATTGGAAGACCATGTCGGGAGAAACAGAGTAAGGCACCACTTTTGGAAAATTAAGGTAGCTTGCAGTAACAAGTGTTGAGCACCATAAGTAGGTGCTCAATAAATACTTGAATGAATGATGAAAGCCATAATTAGCACTATTCTTTTAATTGCCAGCAATTCTTCAACCTCAATAAAATATTTATTTAAAAAGATTTATACCTGAATACAACTTCCTGATATCTTTTTATTTCATACTTTCTTTAGCATTTAAGTTTCCTTGAAAAGAAAAGAAAACCATATCTTACATGCACTCAGTTACATATATACCTTCTGAATTACTGACAAATATGAATAGTCATTAGTTTTAATTTTTGAATGAACAGAGGTAAGATAAAGCATACTTATCCAGAGGGATAACACATAATACTGGATTGAACCTAGAGGTGAAAAAAGATAAGGAAAAAAGTAACAGTTTTATTTTTTAATATTTGCTATTTTCTGTAATGCCTTAGTTCTTGAGAAAGGCCAAAATCTCATCATATTGACATGAATAATTTTTAAAAATTGTCTCTCAAGCGTAATATTTAATAAAACTAGGTATTGAAAAATGTTCTGAAATTTTTCAAGTCAATGTTGTTTTCAAGTATATTAAAATGCTCAGAAGAAAAAATTCTCCATGGTTATAATTCTAATCAATTTATAAATATACTTTTTAAAAGAGAGTTCCAACAGAGGTGGATAATGGATAAGTTCCTCAGACACAGGCACAAAGTCTTTTTGGAGAAATAGAATGCCTTGTCACCACAACCTGGTTGATTTTTTTTTTTTAACACTGATTTCAGGCACAATGGCTGAATCCACTTCTGGGTCATCTTCCTCTTCTTCTTGGTTGGTTTGTAAGAGTAGTGAATACTTCAGTTACGAACAGAAAGCAAAACACAAACTCTGAAACAGAGACATCACTTTTCACTATAAAGAAATCAAAGTCACTGAGTTCTCACTGTTGTGTATAACTGCTGCCCCTGTGCAAAAATAGGGGATTCAAACTTAGCTTTAGGAGCAAGAACTAGATAAAAGATTAATCATCTAATAATTCAGATAAAAGATTTTAAGATGGTATTGCTCACATCACATGAACAGGTTGGTGAGAGGTCCATCGTGTTTCTTTAACACTTTGGTCTTGTTGTAGTATCATAGTGCCCTAGTAGGTACATTCATGTTTAGCTAGTTTCAGTCTGCGCAATCAGGAAGCAGGTCACTCAGTGCAGTAACTCCATTGTGGGAGGATTTACGGTAAAACAGAGAAGAATTTCATTTGGTTGAGTCCTAAATAGCACATGTCACTCTGCTGGTTGTGCTGTTGGAATTATTTTCCAAAGGGGTTTGTGATAAATCCAGCCATCTCCCTGAAACAAGTAGAAAAATAAATTAAAGAACTATTCCTCTAATATTTTCAAAATCAGTAACCCAAACCAGAAGCAACACCTTCACTGAAATGGAATTCTACTTTCACACTTAAAAAAGAGAGTTTTTGTGAAGGAATAAAATCTCTGTGCTTAAGACATCAAACGATGCTTGTCGTTTAGCTAGGATTAGGTAAGAAGGTCTGATATAGGGGGACCTGGTTTGTGACCCACGAACATCTTATTTTGTAGAAGTCATTTTTAGCAATTCTGCCCAATTTTGCCAAGATGCTACAGACTAAGCCTCACTCATAGACTTATGGGCAGCGGGTGAATCACATAGAAATGGTCATGAAGGTACCGGCTGTTCTCCCTATCTCTACTGGTGTCTCTAATATCTAAGTGCTGTTTTTTAGTTCTTTTCAGACTTTACCACTATTAGTTTCTCCTAGTTCCTATAAATAGATAGGATACCACAAGGAGACAAAGCAAGAGTCAAAGAGAAAACCAAAGACAGGAGAAGAGCACAGTAAGGAAAAAAAGAACTGTGGCCTAAGTAAAAAGCAGCATCCTGGGGCTGGAACTTGGTAGTTAAGGTCTGGAGAGCAAAGACTGGATGGAGTTCAGTATTTATAGGACTAGGCAAAGTTAGTCAGATTTGAACCTCTGTCCTTAACTCTCTTGTCTCTTTCAATTTATTTATATTTAAAATTTTCTTTAAATATTTATTATACCTTGTTCGAAAAGTGATTTGAAGCCAGCAATTATTTGACTCACTGTGATGAGGACTTTCGCCTTCACCAAACTATCAGGTTCCTTTGAACTGTCTTTTTGAGCAGGCTTTGGCCTTGGCCTGCTGGGTCCAATTTTAGCAAAGAATCCTGACCAGCCAGTTTATTGAGAATCCCACAACTCTGATATCCAATTAACCTTCTCTCCCCCAACCCTTAATAACTAACCAAGTTTCTCTTAGTAATTTTTCATCCACTTCCTCAGTTTACCAATTGGCTACAAATCCCCACTTGTTACCACTGTATTCAGAATGAGTTCAATCTCTCTCCCCTACTGCAACATTCCTAAATAAAGTGTTCCTTCACGTAAGAATAATTTCTTGGCCAGGTATGGTGACATACTCCTATAATCCTAGCACTATGGGAAGTTCTGACAGGAGGATTGCTTGAAGAGTTTGAGAGCAGCCTGAGGAAGAGCAAGACCCCATCTCTACTAAAAATAGAAAAATCAGCTGGGTGTGGTAGTGTGGGCCTGTATTTCCCAGCCACTCGGGAGGCTGAGGCAGGAAGGAGAGTCTCTTGAGCCTAGAAGTTTGACGCTGCAGTGAGCTAAGATGATGCCACTGCACTCTACCGAGGGTGATAGAATGAGACTCTGGCTTGAAAAAAAAAATAGGAAATTGAGCCTCACTTGCTGTATAATAAAATAATAATTTATTCTTTATATTTATTCTTTATTTAAAAGAATTTCTATTTAACAATAGCAACCACCAGGTTGTTCATATTAAATCACCTGGTCAATAATTCTCAACACTTAAGCTGTTTTTTGAAAAACATGCCAGCTAACTACATTATAGAATATTAGATTTAGGAGTTAAAGTATGCCATCAACAGATGAGGAAGCTTAGGTTAGAAGTGGTAAATAAACTATCCAAGGTAAGAGCTGGGGCTCAAACTTAGTACATCTGACTCCAGTGTGGTCCACTATACCATAAAAGCCATCCTGCTTATATATATTACAAGAAGCAATCTTAAACATTCACTTAGGAGGATATAACCAACAGATCCTAATGGATATGTATAATAACAAACAGGAGGAAATGGAAGATGTATATAATTTAAGTGTCAGTGACAAATGGTCAGGAAAAGGAGGTGGGTGTCATTAAACAATACCAGGAACACTTTCAGTTAGTTCATTTATACTTCCTCAGGTTACTTTACATCCCTTTTTTTTTTTACACTAAAAGTGACTCTAGGGCCGGGCGTGGTGGCTCACGCCTGTAATCCTAGCACTTTGGGAGGCTGAGGCGGGCAGATAGCTCAAGGTCAGGAGTTCGAAACCAGCCTGAGCAAGAGCAAGACCCCGTCTCTACCAAAAAATAGAAAAAAATTAACTGACCAACTAAAAATATATATACAAAAAATCAGCCAAGCATGGTGGCGCATGCCTGTAGTCCCAGCTACTCGGGAAGCTGAGGCAATAGGATTGCTTGAGCCCAGGAGATTGAGGTTGCTGTGAGCTAGGCTGATGCCATGGCACTCACTCTAGCCTGGGCAACAAAGTGAGACTCTGTCTCAAAAGATAAAATAAAATAAAAATAAAAGTGACTCTATTCTTTATTCCTCCATCTAACTAATGACAACTCTAACTGGTCTATAATCGGAAAGCAATAATGAAAGTACCAAACAAATGAGCCCTTGTTACTCAAACAATATTTATGAAACATTTATTATGTGCTCAGCACTCTGTTTAGGACAAGTAGGGGAGATAAAATTGACTTTTCAATAACATGATTCTTTTTTTTTTTTTGAGACAGAGTCTCACTTTGTTGCCCAGGCTACAGTGAGTGCCGTGGCATCAGCCTAGCTCACAGCAACCTCAAACTCCTGGACTCAAGCAATCCTACTGCCTCAGCCTCCTGAGGAGCTGGGAATACAGGCATGTGCCACCATGCCCGACCAATTTTTTGTATATATATTAGTTGGCCAATTAATTTCTTTCTATTTATAGTAGAGACGGGGTCTCGCTCTTGCTCAGGCTGGTTTTGAACTCTTGACCTCAAGCAATCCACCCGCCTCAGCCTCCCAGAGTGCTAAGAATACAGGCGTGAGCCACCGCGCCCAGCCAATAACATGATTCTTTTTAGCAAAAAGCCATACAGAATGACAGTACCGCCAAATTTATTATGAACTTGGCTGCCACCCTTATACCCTGCAGTTCTTCTCATATATGACGGCACACATCATGGTCCAGCCACACACAGGACACAACTTGGCTGCCCCATAGCCTTAGGGAATTTATATCATGACACAACTCAAACCACTGTGCCACAGCACACCATTCAGGAAATTCTGCTTACATCTTACCACCCAAATGTGCCCAAATCTGGGTGTGCATCTCCAATCTATTGTTCCATCAGGCAGTTACTTAAGACCATCTAGGTTGAAAGAAATTCACTATTTTATTGGTCAATCACCATATCATGCTACCACTTTCTTCATCGGTGTGTCTAACATCACAAAGTGTGATAAAAAAAAATTAAGAGGTAGGTTCTTAGTATCAATCATATAAAGAATAAATGAGGGCCGGGCGTGGTGGCTCACGCCTATAATCCTGGCACTCTGGGAGGCAGAGGATTGATCAAGGTCAGGAGTTCAAAACCAGCCTGAGCAAGAGACCCTATCTCTACTAAAAAAATAGAAAGAAATTAATTGGCCAATTAAAAAAAAAATTAGCCGGGCATGGTGGCGCATGCCTGTGGTCCCGGCTGCTAGGGAGGCTGAGGCAGAAGGATTGCTTAAGTCCAGGAGTTTGAGGCTACCATGAGCTAGGCTGATACCATGGCACTCTAGCCCTGGCAACAGAGTGAGACTCTGTCTCAAAAATAATAATAATAATAATAATTAAAATTAAAGAAAGAAATAAAAAAAATTTAAAAAAAAGAATAAATGAGAAGTAGAAAGTTTACATGTCATGTCAGTAGCAAAAATCAGGGTCACTATCCTGTAAAATCCCATCGATTTTACAAATATAGCTACCTGCATTCAGCCCTCTGAGTTCATTTTAAATGATATATAGAGGTCCTCACTTAGAAACTCTCCTCTCTAGAACTGTTCCTGGTAAATCTGCTTTCTAAATAAGCTTGGGGAAAAAAAATCCAAGGTTGGCAGAATATGATTCTGAACAGTAATTATAAACATTAATTTTTTCATATAAAAGTATAGAGATGTAAAATAATTTCCCTTTGTTATTCCCTTCCATTAAATAGTTGGAATTTATATTAGATACCCAAAGATTACTATAGATTCTTTTTTTTTCCCCAGGCAGGGTCATGTTCTGTTGCCCTAGCCACTAGTGTCATCATAACTCACTGCAACCTCAAACTTCTGGGTTCAAACAATCTTCCTGCTTCAGCCTCCAAAGTAGCTGGGACTACAAGTGTGAGCCACAATGCCCAGATAATTTTTCTATTTTTTGTAGAGATGAGGTCTTGCTCTTGCTCAGGCTGGCCTCAAACGATACTCCCTCCCGCCTCAGCCTCCCAGAGTGCTAAGATTACAGGGATGAGCCATTGCATCTGGCCTAAACTATGGATTCTTAAGGCAATAAATCTGCAAAAATCACATCAGATTACTTTTTTCCAATTCCTTTCTGATGGGCTAATATTAAAATTCAATGGGTTTCCTTAGTCTTGGCTATAGATAAGAAAATTTTTTTAATATCAGCTCTGGTTCTACTCTGAGTTCTACCAGAAAGTAATAAACTATAAAAAAAATTTTTTTTAAATCTTTAAATTTAGAAAAAACTTCAGAAGTCATTTAGTTCAACTGCAAAAATTGGTGCATCAAACTATTCTATGTATGTCATGGTCTTTCACATACTCACACACTGATGGGAACTACATAAGATGTACTTATTAAATAATGTCTTTGATTGTTATAACATAAAAAAAAGTGATTGTTATAAAATATGTTAATCCCAAAACATACTTCCTCGTAGTTTGGGCCTATGTTAAATTTATGTTAATCCCAAAATATAAAAATAAAAAAATTTTGATTGTTATAACATATGTTAATCCCAAAATATACTTCCTGGTAGCTTGGGCCTATCTCTCAGCTATTTGAACAGATAAAAAATTTCCATGTGATAAGCCTATAAATTTTTTAAGAAACTTATAATAAATGGCCTCAATTTTCTGTTTTTCAAGCTAAACACCACCACTTCTAGCCACTTCACTAACCTCTGTACAGCCAATTAAGTTTTTCATATCTCTCTTAAAATGTGGTCCCCCGTAAGTGAACAAAGAGTTTCAGATGTGGTACAAAAGGCAGTAAATGGTAAACTACATTTTCTATTATTGTGATTGAAGGTTATATTAGCATTTTCATTTGTGGCCAATTTAAATCCCCAAATATATTTCATCTGAACTGCTGGTAAACCATTGTACTTTGACAAATTATGAAAAGTACGTGAGAAAGTTCATGGTTAAGCTGGACTACTTTTAAAAGTAAAGATATATAAATGATAGCAATTCAACAAAGCCTAGTAAGCCAAAGTTCTCATTAAGTAGATGATAGTTTTAAGCTGAACACATGGATGACATACCTCTTTAATAAAATATTTGGTTTTCCAGGGTGTGCCTGTTTCAGTACGATGTCTTTCTTCAGTCCTCTGGCGTTCTTCCAGGGTACGTTTATGCTCTGTGGCCTTATCAATCTCAGATTCCCTTAGAGAGTCCGTCACATTTTTCCACAATCTCCTGAATTCCAAAAACCTCATATTTTACATTCTTAAAAAAAGATAACTAAATAGAATTTACACACTTAAAATTACAGTAAATTTTAAAAATTACATTTTCTAAATCAGAACTATAATTTCATGCCTATGAATTACAAGAACACTGATACCATGCTGCAGATATTTATGTCCAGCATGCCATTGCTTCTGCTTCTTTTTAAATTAAAATTAATTTGTCACTCTGGGAGGCCAAGACAGACAGATTGCTTGAGTTCAAGAGTTCAAAACCAGCATGAGCAAGAGCAAGACCTCGTCTCTACAAAAAATAAAAAAATGAGCCGGGCATGGTGGCGCATGCCTGTAGTCCCAGCTACTTGGGAGGTTGAGGCAGTAGGATTGCTTGAGCCCAGGAGTTTGAGGTTGCTGTGAGCTAGGCTGAGGCCACAGCACTCACTCTAGCCTGGGCAACAAAGTGAAACTCTGTCTCAAAAAAAAAAAAAAAAAAAAAAAAAGAGGCCAGGCGTGGTGGCTCACGCCTGTAATCCTAGCACTTTGGGAGGCCGAGGCGGGCGGATTGCTCAAGGTCAGGAGTTTGAAACCAGCCTGAGCGAGACCCCGTCTCTACCAAAAATAGAAATAAATTAATTGACCAACTAAAAATATATATACAAAAAATTAGCCGGGCATGGTGGCGCATGCCTGTAGTCCCAGGTACTCGGGAGGCTGAGGTAGTAGGATCACTGAGCCCCGGAGACTGAGGTTGCTGTGAGCCAGGCTGACGCCACGGCACTCACTCTAGCCTGGGCAACAAAGTGAGACTCTGTCTCAAAAAAAAAAAAAAAGAAATTAATTTGTATCTTTCCAAGTTATAAAAGATAGAATTTTATTTTTAGGAAACCTAGGAATTAATAGGTAAAAAGAGAAATACATTTTTCAAAAGTTGAAATGTAAGTGAGATCACCTGTGCTTCTAGAGCTGATGAAATAATAGAGACCAGATTTACTTTCTTGCCTCAATCAACTGGGAAACGAGACAAAATAGAATGAAACAATGGTTTTCAGATATTGAGCAAAAGGCAATGCAGGACAGTGATACTTGAGAAAAGCAAACAGATGAGGGGAGTTTTGAGTGCTCTAACTCACTGCCTAGACAGCTTACAGGGCATGGCACAGAGAAGGGGAAGCTTAACAAACCTCAAACAAAAGAAAACTGCCAAGACAATTCTTTGGAAAGAAAAGTTTGCTGGACAACTGAATATACACATGCAAAATGATGAACTCAGATGCTCACTTCACACCATACCCAGAAATTAACTCATAAATGGATCATAAACTTAAATGTAAAAGCTAAAATAATAAAACTTTTACAAAAAGATATAGGAGAAAAACTTTGAGACTTTGGGTTAGGCAAAGATTTCTTAGACAACACCAAAACCACAATCCATAAAAGAAAACACTGATAATCCCACCTCCTCAAAATTAAAAACTTTTTATAATACAAAAACACCATTTAGAAAAAGAAAAGAAGAGCAACTGACTATAAGAAAATATTTGTAAGACACATACCCAACAAAAGATTTATGTCCAGAATTTACAAAGAACTTCTATAAACCAGTAAGAAGAAAAATGATACAATAAAAAAAAAAATTGGGTAAAAGATATAAAAACAAAGTTCACCAAAGAAGATAGACAAATAGCTAATAAGCACATTAAAACATGCTTAACTATCTGGAGGCTTTGTTGGAAAAAAAGAGAAAAAAAAAAAAAAAAGTGAAAAACAAAAAACATGCTTAACATCATTAATCCTTAGGGAAAGATATCAAAAACACAAGGAGATATCAAAAACACAATATTACTTCACACCAACTAGAATTGAGTAAAATAAGTAAGACAGAATAGCAAATGTTGAGCATGTGAAGAAATTGGAACACTAATACTTTGTTGGTGGGAATGTAAAATGGTGCAGCTATTATGGAAAATAGTTTGACATATTTTAAAAAAGTTAAACATAAAACCGCCATATAACCCAGCAATTCCATTCCTAGATTTGTTACCCAAGAAAAATGAAAAGATGTATCCACACAAGGATTTGAAGGACAATGTTCACAGCAGTATTATTCAACATAGCCCAAAACTGGAAATGTCCACCAACTGGTGAATGGATAGGCAAAATGTGATATATTCATACAATACCATTCAGCAATAAAAATGAATGAACAACTGATAATATGCTACTTGATGGATGAACCTCAAAAACATTATGATAAGGAAAGAAGACAGGCATAAGAGATCACATACTGTATGATCTGTGTATGAAATGTCCAGAAAGGGCAAATTTACAGAGACAGAAAGTACAATAATTTATAGAGACAGAAAGTTCCCTGGGCTGGGGTGGGAATGACAATCAACTGTAAATGAGCATGAGGGATTCTATGATAGAATGAAAAGATTCTAAAACTGATTTATGATAATAATTGCACCAACTCAGGAAAGTTACTAAAAATCTTTGAACTGTACACTTAAAACAGGTGAATTTTATGATATAAAAAATATACCTTGATATAAAATATACCAAGTTTTTTTAAGTGGCAATTTTAATATCAAAGCAGAATTTAAAGAAAGGACTACTACCAGGGATAAAGAGGAGCATTTCATAATGATCAAAGGTCAATACATCAAGACACAACAATCCTAAATGTGTATGCTTCTAATAAAAGAGCTTTTAATAAAATGAAGTAAAAACTTATGAAACTGCAAGGTGAAATATTTAGTTATTAATGTAATTGGTATTTTTAATAACCAATCTCAAGTGAACTCAATTGATAGATTATATATACAAAAAAATCACTAAGGATACATAGGACTAGAAAAATACTGTCAATTCACTTCACTTAATTGTTGACATTTATAGAACACTCTTGCCTACCATCAACAGAATTTACTTTTTTTTTTTTTTAAGAGATAAGGTCTTGCTATCACCTGGGCTAGAACACAGTAGCCTGATCATAGCTTACTGCAACCTCAAATTTCCTGGCTTAAGTGACTCTCCTGTCTCAGCCTCCTGAGGAGCCGGGATCATAAATGCCTGCCACCACAACCAGCTAATTTTTCTATTTTTTGTAGAGACAGGATCTCGCTATGTTGCCCAGGCTGGTCTCAAACTCCTGGGTTCCAGAGATCCTCCTGCTTCAGCCTCACAAAGTTCTGGGATTACAGGTGTGAACTACTGTGCCTGGCCCAACAGAATATATATTCTTGTCAACTACACAGGAAACATTTACCAAGACAGAACATATTTAGGGCCATAAAAAATTTAAATAAATTTAAAGGATTAATACCATACAAAGTACATTCTTTGACCAAAATGAAATTAAGTTAGAAATGAATAATGGAAAGATATCTGGAAAATCTCCAAATATTTGGTAATTATCAACACATTTCTAAATAACTTCATGAGTTAAAACCAAAAACTAATCACACGGGAAAATAGAAAATATTGTGAAATGAAAACATATCAAAAATTGTGGGATATTAATAAAACAGTCCTAAAAGGGAAATACATAGCATTAAATGTTTAGGAAGCTAGATACAGTGGCTCACACCTCTAATCTCAACACTTTGGGAGGCCAAGGTGGGAGGAATGCTTGAAGCCAGAAGTTCAAGACCAGCCTAGGCAACATAGCGAAACCCAGTTTCTATAAAAAATTTAAAAACCAGCCAGGCATGGTGTTGTGCACCTGTAGTCCCAACTAGTTGGGAGGCTGAGGTGTTAAGATTGCTTGAGCTAGGAATTCAAGGTTACAGTGAACTATGATCTGGCCACTGTATTCCAGCTGGATGACAGAGTGAGACCTTGTCTCTCTAAAAAGATAAATAAACAAAAATAAAGTATATAAAGAAAATCTGGCCTCACACATAGTTAGGAAAAAAATAATATTTTAACAGATTTTCACATAATTCAACTATTCCATACTATATCAAAACTTGGCGGGCGACTTCTGGGGCCCCCCTCTCTTTGGACCCCAGAACCTCGTCCACGAGTGTATAATAAAGCCACGTGGTTTGGCCCCCCTAAAAAAAAAAAAAAAAAAAAAAAACTTGGCAAGTGGTAGATTTTTAAAGGTTAGTTGGAATATAGGAAAGTAAGAAATGTCAATTTTTCAATTAATTTACATGAAAACTGATTGTTCTAACTTGAATCCTGAATGGATGATTTACTCATGCATAGTTTTATTATCTCATGCATTAGTCATATGAAAAATACTGGTTCACATATACTGCCTGTGCCCTCCCCCTCCTCCTCAAGTCAGAGCTTCAAGTGTGACCATCCCCCCAGACGGTGCACATCTCACTCATTATGTATGTATTAACATTTGTTAATATGCTGAAATAAAGAAAAGAAAAATACTAGTTCATTGAGTTATGCCGATCTTCCAGATATTGACAAATTTCAATTTTTCATATTTTAAAAAAATCACATTCATTAATATTACCACAATTTCATCAGGAAACTCTTTAATTGGGAAGCTTTCAAATTCATGGTGGCAGTTATACATTTTTCAAAATTCTGATTTGCCTTGTAGTTCAAATTTTATTATTAGAAACAAATATTATCAATTGTTTTTCTTGAAGTGTCACATTCACCTTTCATTTACAAGAAAAATGTCTGCCCATTATTGAAATTAGAATATCCATAGTATGTCTGTTAATCATTCTTTTAAGTAAAAAGAGTGTTTCATGAGAAAGAATGATTAGTTCCACTTGTGACTCAAACAATTGAACAAGTGCTTTTTCTCCAGATAATCACTACACTTCTTTAGTATCCAGCACAAGTGTTTTATAGATGTGCCCAATCTGTCATACAGAATACTAAAAAGACATATCCTCAGAGATCCATATTTAATAAAACTAATAATCTATACAGCTTTTTAAAAGGATACTAAATGTGAGTACATGGCAGTGAAGAACACAATGACTACTAGCACAGTTTGGTGCCACTACCCTGATTAGTCTAAGGCTACCTACCCACCATTGCTTTGGCACCATCAATGTAAGTGCCAACAGAGTAAAACATGCAAATAACATCTTAGTATTATTATGAAAACATTTTAACCTTGAAGACCCCCTGAAAGGGTCTCAGAGATCTCTTTTCCAGAGGCAATCCCTGTCAACACATTTTAGAGACTGTACCTTATCAATACATATAGGTTTATTGTACTTATTTTTAAAGGCCTATGACACACATTGCCAGAAATACTCTCTAGGAACATTATACTGATTTAACTTCTAACCAGGAGTATGACAATGCCTTTTCATTTTCTTGGTGGGCATTTAAGATTTTTCTATTTTTGTGAACTACCTCTTTATATCCTTTGCCTATTTTTTTATTGGGGTGCCTGCCTTCTGTTAATAATTTGTAACAAGACTGGGTGCGGTGGCTCACACCTGTAATCCTAGCTCAGGTGGGCGGATTGCTCAAGGTCAGGAGTTCAAAACCAGCCTGAGCAAGAGCAAGACCCCATCTCTACTAAAAATAGAAACAAATTAATTGCACAACTAATATATATAGAAAAAATTAGCCGGGCATGGTGGTGCCTGCCTGTAGTCCCAGCTACTTGGGAGGCTGAGGCAGAAGGATCACTTGAGCCCAGGAGTTTGAGGTTGCTGTGAGCTAGGCTGACGCCATAGCACTAACTCTAGCCTGGGCAACAAAGTGAGACTCTGTCTCAAAAAACAATAATAATAATAATTTGTAACAGCTTTCATGATAAGGATAGAAATCCTTTGCTATGTTTTTTTTTTTTTTCTTCTTCTTTTTTGTAGCTAACTACAGTGAAAATGAATATGTTTTTAAATGTTTTTAATATTTCTGCTCAGTTTACAATGTTTGATTTTTACTAAAATGTGACTGTATATTATATAATCTCATAGCTGACAAGGGGTTTAAGGGCATCAGACCAGACCAACCCTTTCAATTTATAGATGAGGAAGCTAATACAAACTGGCAAAGTGAATTGCCCATGGTCACAAAGGCTTAGATTAAGACCCAGAGTTTCTGACACTTTCCTCAATGCATGGAAGGATGACATACCTGGATTCAAATGGATCCTGCTTCTCCAGAGGTCTTACTCTCTTCTTTGTCACTGCCAATTTAGTCAAATCCACATACTTCGTCTCTCCATTGCTGTAAGTGAACTCAAGAACACTATTCCATTCCCCTTGCACTCTGCATACCACAGTGTTGGTGAAGTTGTGCTTTACTTCAGCTGTAACCCTAGAAGAACATGGAAAATAAATATATGCTCTAATAAGTGATACCAGGTTTGTTTCTTAGGATGAAAAACCCAAGGACATACTCTGTGAATCCTATTTAAATTAGTTACACAGTTCACTTCAGTATGTCAGATCATAGTCAGATTCTTGGTAAATCTCGTAACAGCTTCCTTGAAAATTTTTTCAAATAATATAAATTTTAATCTTTACAAAGAATACTAGGAATCAAATTAGAGACTTCATTACCACAAATGATCAAAGTGTGATTTTTAAAATGCCTGTTACCAGCCCGTTAAAGTGGCTCATGCCTGTTATCCTACCACTCTGGGAAGCTGAGGCAGGTGGATGGATTCTTTGAGCTCAGGAGATTAAGACCAGCCTGAGCAAAGGCAAGACCCCGACTCTACTAAAAAAAAAGAAAGAAATTAGCTGGACAACTAAAAATATACAGAAAACATTAGCCGGGCATGCTGGCACATGCCTGTAGTCCCAGCTACTTGGGAGGCTGAGGCAGGATTGTTTGAGCCCAGGAGTTTGAGGTTGCTGTGAGCCAGGCTGATGCCACAGCACTCTAGCCAGGGCAACAGAATGAGACTTTGTCTCAAAAAAAAAAAAAAAAAAAAAAAACTAAACAAATAAATAAAATGCCTGCTATCAATAAAACTATCATAAAAATAGAAATATCAAAAATATTAATCTTCTTTTTTATTATAGTCTAAAAATGTTACAACATTATAATCTATTTAACTTGGTTTTTTACTAGTTAGTTCTATTTATTGTAAAATTTGGAGTCCTTATATTTTAAGGACATATAACAGATATGTCAATTCTGTATTAAACTACATAAGCCTAATTTGAAATTAAATATAGAAACCAGAAAAACCAATGAGAAGTAGAAAAATACGAAAGAATGTATTAAAAAATTTAAAATTCTCTACCAAAATAGAAAAATACAAACATTATCATTATCACCACAGAGCTCAGAGAAACTCAAATACTACTGTTGCTGAAGTTTAATGAAGAGTTATCCGGCTGCTTATCAACAGACAGCTGCACTGATGTAGCTCAAATATACCAAAAGGAACAGGCTCGAACAGGAACAGGCCTAATTATTTTTAATGAAGTATTTTATGCTCACTGTAGGACACGATAACAGGGTCAGATTAGATAGAGGTTCAGAACTCAGGGAATGGTGTTCAAAGGTTATGGTCTAATCAGTGTGCCAGAGATTATGGCACAGAGGTTCAGGTGACAGTTCAGGAATCCTAAGTAGCATTTGTCAGGTATAAGCTAAGGGAATGAAAAGGATAAAAGAGAATTCAGGGAGTCCACAATTTTTAGTCAGGAGAGTAAAAGGTTTGCAAACTCAGAGCTCAATGTAGAGATGTAAGGAGCCCAATAAGCAATTGATTTATGAGCCAGATGTTAGAGATGAAGGTGTACAAGGGTTTGGAATACAAAAGCAAACTACACATTCAAAATCAAAAGTCAGGAGTAATTGTAGCTCACTGGACATATAGAACACCATGACTATAAGTAGGCTTGATTGCAGTAGGGGTGAGAACTCTGGGTTCTACTTCAAAGCATATGAACTTAAATAATTGCCCTGCTAAGCTCTCTGGCCAGAATGAATATTTCTCATGATGGCAGTCCACATTTCTTCTCTGATCTCACTTGTCAACCTCTTTCCCTTCCTTAAAAATTTATCTCTATCACACAAGACATGAGGAGATGACACTAAACACTTACCTCATCCTTTCTCCATCCACATACACCCAGAACTATATTCTGAGAACTCAGGAATGACAATGTGTTCCTCATTTGATCCTTCTTTTACTGCCACAGAACAATCTCAAGTTATGATCTCCTGCAAATCTTTCTACTCAACAAATAACAACCCTACAGCCCTGCTCATGATTGCTGGGTTATACAGGGTCCCAACTGCTTAGAGCAGCTGCTCAGCAAGAGCAGCATGAAGAGAACTGGGGCAGGAGACAGGAATCACACATAAAAGGGGTGAGCCATAAGGAACTTGCAAAGGAACACAAGGAAGAAGGGCCTCTCCTCACTTTGCTTATAACAATTCACAACAGTCTATTGGGGAGCTGGCAAACTTCTTCTATAAAGGACCAGAAATTTAACATCAGGATTCTTAACCAGACTGTCTCTGTCACAACTACTTAACTTTGTCACTATAGTATGAAACCAGCCAGAGATGAGTAAATGAATTGACATAGCAGTGTTCCAAAAAAATTCATTTACAAAAACATGTGTCACTAATGGCCTGAGCTACATGCTTCCATTGTATGGACCGTATGATCACATAGTAATGTTATTACTGGCTTTCCATGCCCCCAACTAAGCTCTTTAAGAAGCATGGAATGGGTCTCATCTCTATATCTCCAGTTAGTACTTAGGAGAATAACTGATCAATTGCAGGCGCTTAATAAATGTTGCTTGAATTGAATGAGAAAACTAAGCTTTAAAGAGCTTAAATAAATTAATATCACTACCTACAATGAGTAAGTGTGAGCAAAAGCAAACACAAGAGAATGCCAGTGTGTGTAGGGAGGGCAAGTTAACATTTGTTGAACACTTAACCTATACTGGGCATTTTACATAAATTAACTTTGTCAAGCCTTTCGACTATCCCATTTCTACAGATGAAGAAACTGAGGCTCAAAAATATAGTGGCAGGGCATGCCTATAGTCCTAGCTACTTGGGAGGCTAAGACAAGAGGATCACTTGAACCTAGGAGTTTGAGGTTGCACTGAGCTATGATAACATCACCGCACTCTAACTGGGGTGACAGAATGGGACTCTGACTCCAAAACAAAACAAAATTTAGGTAAAGTACCCCAAATCACATAGCTAGTAAATAGTATAGTCAGGATTTGAACACAAATCTAATGCACTCCAAAATCCAAGTTCTTGCCAATACTTCTAGGTACAAATTTCCTTAAAACAATTTGACCTCAGGTCTGACAGTACCCATTTTTCCCCCCAACAAAAAGCAGTCATTCAGGAAGATGACATCACGATCAATTTGTAGCTATGACATAGAGATAAAAATTAGATAGTTTAGAAAAATATTTTACAGGAGAGAGGGAAACTGGGGAAATAACCCAAAGAAATGAAGCTCTACTCAGAGCCAACTCTGTCATTCTGTTTCCATGCAGCAGCACGGACTTCCTGACAAAACAGAAAGTAAAAAGGCTGAGTTTAGGAATTTAGGAAGTAAAAGCTGTACCAAATGTTAAAGCTGTCAAAGCTGTACTTTGAAAACCACTATAGGAAAGGTGTATTAAAAAGTTATGCCGGCCGGGCGCTGTGGCTCACGCCTGTAATCCTAGCTCTTGGGAGGCCGAGGCGGGCGGATTGCTCAAGGTCAGGAGTTCAAAACCAGCCTGAGCAAGAGCGAGACCCCGTCTCTACTATAAACAGAAAGAAATTAATTGGCCAACTGATATATATATATATATATAAAAAATTAGCCGGGCATAGTGGCGCATGCCTGTAGTCCCAGCTACTCGGGAGGCTGAGGCAGAAGGATCACTCGAGCCCAGGAGTTTGAGGTTGCTGTGAGCTAGGCTGACGCCACGGCACTCACTCTAGCCTGGACAACAAAGTGAGACTCTGTCTCAAAAAAAAAAAAAAGTTATGCCAATGATTAACAGGAGGCAAAAGAAGTTATAGTAAGTGATTCCTAATCTTAGCAAAATTCTCATAGACTTGATAATTCTTTAAAAACAGTCTAGTAAAAGGAGAGAGAACATGGTTTTTAAATCAGATAGACCAGTCCTGCTGAGGGCCTTAAAGAATCTCAATTTCATCATCTATCATTATAAAACCAATACTTCTCCCTCATAGACAGATTTTAGACAATGTTTATTAAAAAAAAACAAAAACCTCCTTACTTGTTTTACATAAATTTTTCTATGTGGCCACCATAGGAAACAAAAAGTTAAAGCTGTGATCAAAGTGATGTATCCTCTTTCTCTAAGCTCTGTGTCTCAGAGCAACTATTTCTCCATCTCTCCTGACTATAATAATTGGGTTATTAGTTTGTCTTTCAATTGTGTAAACATATTTGGGACTATCATTGATTGAGATGATGAAAATACTTCAAATAAATTATACTCATCATCTAACCATTGCTTTTAATGAGTATCTTTATGAACCAAGAATGGTTTTAAAAAGTAATTTTACCAAATAGTTAATTATATTCTATAAAAAAATTATAAAAACCCTGCTAACCAGGAGTTTGAGGTTGCTGTGAGCTAGGCTGACGCCACAGCACTCACTCTAACCTGGGCAACAAATCAAGACTCTGTCTCAAAAAAAAAACAAAAAACAAAAAACCTGCTGAAACCAAAGTTAGATGTTCAAATATAAGACATTAAATAACTCCCTCTCACAGGTTAAGTAAGACATTGGCCATGGTTGCTATCTAGATGCTAATATCTTAACATTCACTATGAAGGCAAGTTCTCAAAATTCAAGTTAAATTCTGGTTCCTTTATGGCTGAGGAAATTGACAGGCCTTCTTAAAATTATAAATATTAAAACTATTTCTAACATAGAAATTTAAGATTTCAACAAAGCACTTGCCCAGGCCTTTGAGCAGGTCAGAATTTTCTCTTTGACAAAAATTCTGCCTCTCTCCACATCTCAGGCTTATGGAAATAAGATGGTGCTATACCTGGGTGAGAATGTAAGTTAAAATTTTATTTTTAAAGGACAAAAACAGGTTTTTTGAACAAATTCACAATAGCAAAAGCATGTAGAACTTTTGTCGATAAATCACAAAGAATATACAATATGCTGTCCTTAAGATACTTAACAAAGAGCCAAATCTTAAATTTGTTATGCCACTGATCTCTCAAGTGAAAATAATTAATAACTGGTAAAACATCTGCTTTCTCACTTTCTAAAAACTTAACAAGTCAGCCTTTTAAATTTTCTAGATCCTGTCTCTATAGCTATTTGTGATAACAGAAAACCACTAGATATATTAACTTAGCTTCAAATAGAAAGGATTTTATTGATACAAAGTTGAGAATTTAGCTTTGAGTTTCATTGATGGTATATATAAGAAATACATGAAGGGTAATTGTGTTTTATGCAGAACTACTGAAGAAGACATTGTCTATTATGTTACTTAATTCCACTATGTAAGGATATATGCAATAAATCCCTTTAGCATTTAGTGCCAGGAAAATAGTTTGTCCCTCTTGAAAGAGTGATATGCTTCTTTATCAGACAAAGAGAAGGAAGTATGTTGAGCATCAAGTTTCTTGTTTTACTTTAACAGATGAGTCAGAACTAATTTTTTCCCCTTCCAATGTGCCTTGAAGGGAAAAAAGAACTACTTTTTTTTTCAGTTATAGCAATCACCTAATCCTAGCTTCACAGTATTGTTTTCCTTTTCCATCTTTATAGTTATTATGACAGACTTTATTTTTAACTGTTTATTATTATACAAGAGATTTTCCTAAAAGTCTTCCTAAATGCTTTCCAAAAGTAGTATCCTGAATCCTAATACTAGACTGAAAGCTTCTTGAAGACAAATACACTCTTTGTTTTTATTTCTCTGTATCTCCAGTATGCAGAAAAGTATGTATATACACACACACACATAATTATCATAAAATCTTGATGGTATTATACTACACACAAACTATATACATAAGCATCCTAAAGTGAGTGTGGAAAATGAGACCAGGAGAAGGAAAGGGAATGGAGAAGAGTTAAGTAGGCTCACTTGACTGCATCAGAAATAGATGTGGAAAACGAGGAAGTAAGGGAAGACAGCTGAAATATAATATATTTATACCAAAGGCAGACAGCAGATAATGTGTCTGCTCCAATTGCAGATAGCAGTAAAAAAAAAAAAACTAGCCTATGTCTGAGGAAGGAGGCATGGCCATTAAATAATGGCATGCAAGATCTTAGTTATAATAGTCTATAAAATCAAAGAAGAAAAGGTGCTGAGAACAGGAAAGTCTGTTTCTAATATCAATCTCCTAAATGAGAAATTAGGTGAAACCACTGGTATTAAGGAAGATCAGAATGGAAAAAAAGAGGGAACTCTGGAATAGCCAAAATGACCCTTTAAGAGTTAGGCAAAGAATATGTATATGATTGCAAATGTGGGTGGGGAAGGGGGGGGTGGGACAGATACCACAGATACCAGAATAGTGTTATACCTCCAAGTGACAAGAAAACCCAATTAGTGTGGTAGACTTGCAGATAGGTAAAAAGTAGGAAGTAGTAAAGAAGTCAACTTAAGTAAGAAATGTACAGAAATGAGATGGTGAATATAATCATTGATCATTAACAAAAATGAGGATATCTACCTGAAATTATTAGGAGTGTTAAAAAATATGAAAACTAGGTATCGAAAGCCAGAAAGGCTTTGGAATGCTTGTTTTTGGATGATGCCTCTAGATACGTAGCTGCCAAGATAAGAGAAACCCAAATCACATGGGAATGTCACAAGTAGGTCTTCTGGATGACAGCCCCACCTGACCCCTGGCCTACAGCAAGATCAGCTACCATACCACGTGAGTGAACTTATCTTGGGTGTCCAGTCAGGTTGAGCCCTTAGATGAATGAAGTGCCAGTCAGTATCTGCTACAGACGCATGAAAGATGCCACATGAGAATCACCCAGCAGAGCCTAGCCAATCCATAGAATTGTGACAGATAATTGTTTTAAGCACTAAGTTTTAGAGAGGTCTATTACCAGTAGTAGATAACCAGGACATCAACCAAAGTTATCTTGGATGCCCCTTCACTCCTCCACATTCTGTCAGTTACTCATTCATTCATTCATTGAGATAGAGTCTTGCTCTGTTGCCTAGGCTGTCAGCCTAGCTCACAGCAACCTCCAACTCCTGGGCTCAAGCAATCCTCCTGCCTCAGCCTCCCGAGTAGCTGTGACTACAGGCATGCACCACCATGCCCGGCTAATTTTTTCTATATATTTTTAGTTGGCCAATTAATTTGTTTCTATTTTTAGTAGAGATGGGGTCTCGCTCTTGCTCAGGCTGGTTTCGGAACTCTTGACCTCAAGCGATCCGCCCACCTCCCAGAGTGCTAGGATTACAGGCGTGAGCCACTGTGCCCGGCCACAATTTTTTTTTTCTATGTTTAGTAGAGATGAGGTCTCACTCTTGCTCACGCTGATCTTGAACTCCTGACCTCAAGAGATCTACCTGCCTTGACCTCCCAAAGTACTAAGATTACAGACATGAGCCACCGTGCCTGGGCTCAGTTTCTCCTTTAAAAAAAGAAAGAAAAAAAAGATGGGGCCTCGCTATGTTGCCTAGGCTGGTTGTGAACTTCTGAGCTCCAGCAGTCCTCTCACCTCAGTCTCCCAAGGAGCTGGGATTACAGGTACGGGGCACTATGCCTGGCTGTCAACTACTCCTTTAAGTGTGTGAACTGTAAACCCCTAACTAGTCTCCCAACTCCTAATCCAACCTCACCATCCACCCCCTTCCCATTCTTTATCTGCCACTGAAGAGGGACTTGAAAACCAAGAGAAAATTTCTATGCAGGATATTTGCAGGAAGCAACTATCTAATGTCATGTAATAGTAAGACTTGGGGGGTGAATTATGATTCTCCACATTTAGGTAGTCCTAGAAAAATGATAAATTCTTAGCATTTATATTTATTATTATTTAAAGCAAGATAAAGCACTGCCTCAAGAATAAAGTTTGGATATTTTACATTTGGGGAAAAAATAAACCTGAGCTCAAAACTATAACCTGAGCTCTTATAAAAGGATATTTGTATAAATGTGATTAATTTATCAAGTATTTGAAAAATAATTAAGGCTTAAAAATTAATTAGAATAGCTATGTTGTTGAACTGTTACAAAAGAAGAAAATTCTGAACATGCAAGAGAGGTAATACTATGTGTATTAAATGTGGAATAAGGCTTTACCTGAAGAATATCAGAAAATCCTTATGTATAAATACAAATGAATATGTGCAGGCAAGCCTTTAATAGCCTATTTCCTTCTTAGCAGAGATTTAATATTGGAAAGGAAATCTTTGAATTGTAATGAATAAAGGAGTTTCCACTGACAGCTCAACATTAGCTCAACACATGATAATGCATCTGGATGGAATAAATGTGGGAAACCCTTAAAAAGGATCTTCTCTCTTCATTGACCCAAGAAAGTTCACAGAGGAGAGAAATCTTATGATGAATACTAATGATTATGAAAAATTCTACAGTCATCATTTGCCCCTTATACATGGGAGAACTCACACTGGAGAAAAACCCTATAGAAAAGCCTTTATTAAACACTCATATCTTAAACAGCATAAGAGAAAACTTACTGGAAAAAAGCCGTATGAAGGCAAACACATGAGGCAACTCTCCATAATCATTCATTCCTTAAACAACATGAAACAATTCATACTGGCCAGAAACTATACAAATGTGATCTATGTGGCTATTAGTCAATATCTGACCCTTAGATAACATAAGAGAATTCACACTGGGGGAAAAAACCCTGTAAATATAGTAAGTGTGACCATGCAGTTTGGGTGATCTGGGCTAGTGCTGACGAGACTAACAAGCCAACAAAGGAGTATAATACCTGGCCAATTTCTAGATGAAATTAGAACAAAGCTACCATTTGATATTGGTACCTAACGATACCTAAAGCCTTCAATCATTGTGCTTCTTGAACTTTTTAAAATATAGAATTGGATATATTTCCATCCTAACCTGCAGCAATAGATACCTTCACTGAGGTCCAGATCCAAATCTGAATCCCTTATAGGCAAAACTGGGCCAGAGACTATATTTGTTAGAAATTCTATTCTACATCTCATTACCTACATCATCAAGAATTTTTTTAATGAAAGTAGATATTTTAATAATGTTACTGCTGTTAAAAACAGATCATGATTTTCAGTATGCCTTAAAAGATGAAATATAATAAACAAAAAATAAACAGGAATAAGACCCAACTTCAACCACATAAAACAAAGCAGAAAAATAAGGAGCTATGATACAAGGTCAAAGTGGAAGAATAAGAGCCAGATATCATTAAAATGTTCTTACCGGTGCAGTTTGCCACCATAAAATGGCTTAGTATGAAAAGTGATGCTAGCTGAATATCCAGTTTTTGCACAGTTAACGCTGACTTTGCCACCCAGTTCTACCCAAGGAACAGTCAAAATTGACCGGGCATATGCACAAGGTAGAGAAAATGTATACTCTTCTCCATGCTCCAGTAGACTCAGGATACCTGAATTTGAAAACATGAGGGTGGTTAACATCCTTTTAAGAAACAGACAATTATAAAATAATCTGTATTATATTTTTTCCTGTCTAGTAAATAAATATTATGATTTTGCCTAATCTTCATTTAACTTTGGATGAAACTGATTTCATTTACAATTATATTTGACATTTCCTGATAATATTGAATCAGGGTTACGTTCACTATGATTTTACTGTCCCTTTGTGGTTCATGGGTCCAGTAAATGTTACAGTACAAACAGAGTTCTCTCTAATGTTCCTAAAAATAAAATAAAGCCTTTAGACAGAGTTTAAGGCCATGCTATATTATATCATGTCAGATCATTAGTTAGTACTAGTAACTTTAGCAGTTTAGGAATAACTACTAATAGATGTCCAATGTTATAAAGGCATAGACATTATAATCTCAGTATGATGGACAAAGTATTCCATGTACTATTCTATTCCATGTATATTAAGAAAAAGAAAAAGAAGTCTATTATAAAAACTATAGTCATAATAATTTTGTTTCCCAAATTCTGAAATATTTAGATTGAAACTACAGGATATATTAGTGTTGGTTTTCAAACAAATATTATTCTAATGGAGCTCGTTGCATATTAAGTGATGCTATATTAAAGATGGTTTAAAAACATATACAAAAAGGGGATTACATTAATGCATAATTGCTCTATACTAGATAATTAAGAAACACTAAGGATACCTGAGCTACATTACTAACCTTCTGAGCTCATTGCCTGTGTCACCATCAGACCAAATACTGAATTGGATACGTACTACCAGTCTGAACTTTTACGGCATCTCTCTCTTAATAAATGCTCATTAAATACTCCGTTCTTTTTTTTTAATCCCCTTCCGCTCTCCCCTCTCCCAAGTCCTCTGTTCTTAATGTTCACAAATATGAACATGAGTTATGACAAATATATTTTAATACAGTTAATTTTTAGAATAAGCAAATAGACAAAATGAGATCCTAAAGTAGACAACACAAAGCAACATCAACTATTTTTTGTATTGTCCTTAATATTCTTCATGAAGAGCAAAAATAAATCAAGAATTACTGAGCCTCTGGATTCACAAAAGGTCACAGAAAAAAAAATTACTGAGCCATTTCATAAGAGACATGGTTCTGACTATAATATATTTATATATAATGTGAGCTCTCAGAAGACAGCCAATATACTGGGATATATTTTAAGTGTTACTAATAACTGTTGATTGATTCTAAGTTAGAAAAGATACTGTATTTTTATTACTCTTGTAAACACATGTGTTTTTTTGTTTTCTTTAGAGACAGTGTCTCACTCTGTTGTCCAGGCTGAAGTGCAATGGCATCATCATAGCTAACTTCAGCCTCCAACTCCTGGGCTCAAGCAATCCTCCTGCCTCAGCCACCCAAGTAGGTAGGATTATAGGTGCACGCCAACACGCCTGGCATGCACCTATAACAATAAAAATTTGGAAACAACCTCAATGTCCAAATGGTTAAATAAAAGATGGCAAATGCATTTCATAGATTATGCAGTCATTAAAATATTTTATCAATAACCTGGGAAAATGAATATATTTAGTAAAAAAAGGATATAAAACTTTATATATATAATTAATCCTAATTTTATAAAACTAAAAGTATGAACATATATAACACACACAGAAAAGACATAAATTACTAAGTAAAATTATCTACCTCTGCATGGAGGGATTAGAGATGCTTTTATTTTCTCCTTTATACCTTTCTAGTTTTCTAAATTTTCAACAAATTTTAAAATCAGAAAAAAATAATTTAAAAAGAGAATTTACATTAGTTCATAGATATACTCCTCTGCTCACAGAAAGCATTCTGGAACACACTGGGAATTGGAACAAGAAAGTAGTCCTCATAGCATTTCAAACTTACAATTAATATTTATCTAGGTTCCCAAAATTTAAGATTATAGTTTGATATTAAAAATCGGAGAACAATTTTGCTACTTACCTTCTCCAACCATTGTCACGCCTATCGACATGCCTAAGAACTTGCTCTTAGTCCAGACATGCGCATTTACACACATCTTCCTCTCTGCACATTCTGCATAAAATCCTGAGACTGGAGGATGATGGGAAACCTGCTCAGCAACAAATCTGACTGTGTAACAGTCTGATCCCACCTGGTTCAAAGACTCCTCTGATAGAGGAGCATGATTTGTGACTGCCTGGGTGGAAGAGCTGCTAATAACACTGGATGCTACCTCGCTTTTTGGCATCCTCCAGGAACAGTGAAACGTTTCTCCAATGATAGGATTGTATGGTTTCTTAGCAATGGCTCCCTTGCGGCCTTCATGAAATGAGGTAAGGTAGTACTCAACAAAGCGAATCATTCTGTCCTCAGCTGTGGCTCCATTAGTGATGGCTATAAATAGGTCTGGATGAGACATAAAATCTGCGTACATTTCCAGCAAGGAACGTTTCTCTAGGATAAATGTAGGAAGCACCACCTAAAATAACAACAACAACAACCAATCAACCAAAGAGGGAACATTTAATCCTAGTGTATATCTGTAGACAACTATACTTATCTCTCAGAAAACATTTCATTCTAGATGAGTATTAAAAACAAAGTCACAAAGAAAAAGTATTTGATCTCATTAACAAATAAGCATGCTTAAAAAGAAATGAAAGCCTACCCAAGTGGTTAAGATTAAACACAAATTCAATAGGGTCAAGTAGAAGGAATTTTTTTTAAAAAGCCCTCAAACTCATAGACTGGATAAAAGTATCATCAGGAAAATGGTATTAAGAGTCAAAGTAAGGACAGGCGAGATGGCTCATGCCTGTAATCCCAGCATTCTGGGAGGCCGAGGCAGGAAGATTGTTTGAGTTTAGGATTTGAGACCAGCCTGACCAAGAACTAGACCCCATTTCTACTAAAAATAGAAAAAATTAGCCTGGCGTAGTTGAGTGCACCTGTACTCCTAGCTATTTGGGAGGCTGAGGCAGGAGGATCACTTGAACCTAGGAGTTTTAGGTTGCAGTGAGCTATGATAATGCCATTGCACTTTAGCCTGGGTGACAGAGCAAGACTCTGTTTACAAAAAAAAAAAAGTCAAAGTAAATGTTAGCTATGCCTAGTCTCCTTTCCTAAGTTAAAAATAAATTATGGATGAATGATCAAGACATGAGACTCTTCTAAGAACAGACTGAAGAGATCACAGACCAAAGGAAAATTTGTAATGTATATTTAAAGTACAAGACAAGTATTTCCAAGAAGAGAAATTTTGATACCTAAAACCAGGTAAGTGTAAGGAAGATTAAATATTTTACTTAAAGCAGAGTTAGACACTGCAAAATATTAATAGTTTACTGTTTGAGAAAGCAGACTGGCAGTATGTTTCAAGAGCCCTAAGGTGTTCATACCCATTAGCCTAGTACTTTTATCCAGGAACCTAGCCTTAGGAAACAAATAATATGAATAAAGGAAAAGGAATGTGAAAAAATAATTAAAACAACCTACATTTTATTTTTTTTTAATTTTACATTTTATTTTTTGACTTTTTTTTCCCCCCATGGCAAGGCAAAAGGTAGAAATCAACCTACATTTTAAACTACGGTCCTACCTACTTAAATATGGAAATTTCACTTAATGGATTATTATGGGCACTTAAAAGATGGTTCTGAATATGACACAACATAAAAGGCTTTGGATGATGCAGGTTCAGATGGTGAATTGAACACATGCATCTTAATTCACTTCTAATGAAATTCCATTAAAATTATTAAAAATTTCAAATAAAGACAAACCCAGAAATTCCAGGAAAGTAGACAGAAGCAATAAAATTTTGGGAGCTGTTATATAGAAAGCTGAATCTTAAGCGATAGTTTACACTGTGTACAAATTCCTGAAAAGGCTCATGATCTGGGGGTTTAGAGGGATCCTAAAATAAGAACAACTGAGTGAAATCTGTATGCAAAGCAATTAGATGCCTAAATCTCCTCCCCAACTCCACACTGTTAGTAACTGCCCCTCCTGCACATCAAAGTCTAGAGGTTTGGTCTCTGGGGAGAGAAACAAAGTGGTTTATTCTCTAGATTGGAGAACATCAGGGATTTCTAAGAGAATGGATACCATAATGATAAAAAGAGTATTAAATAACCCCCATATAAATTAAGTTTTTGCTACTGACACCCTCTTCCACTCAGTCCTCTTTTCTTCTTCAACTCCTAGTTACTTTACTCACCAAGTAGGAGATGAGAAAAATTTCCTTCAGGGAAATCTGACTAACACTGGAAGAAAAACCTAATGATTTTGACACCAAGTTCCCCAACAAATGGCCCAACCAGATCACTGGACAATAAAAGACATAGGCCCCACCCACATGCTCAAAATTTAAAATCAGGTTTTTAGTTTCTCTAAACTTAATTATGAGCGGAAATCCAAGAAATACCATATCTCTGAGAAAACTTCTAATTAGGAATATAAAGATTTAAAAAAAGAAATAGACTTGGAGGAAACAGAAACCTGATAGGAGGAAAAGAAATCTTTTAAAAAATCTTAAAAACTCTTCAGAGAGTTGAGAAGATATACATACAGGGATGAAACAGGGATCCTTTTTCTTAAATCAGAAAATTAAAAAACATGATAGAAAAAATTAAAATTTGAAAAGAGTTAGAAGCTAAAGGTGAGGAAATCTCTCAAAATATAGGAGAGAAAAAGACAGGGAAAGAAAGATAAAAAAAAAGAAGAGAGAAAAATAGAAGACAAAGTCCAATGACTATCTCTAAGGGTTTCAGAGAAAACAGAAAAAAATGGAAGAGAGGAAAACAATCAATGAAATAATTCAAGAAATTTTCAGAGAACTGAAAAACATGAGTTATGATACTGAAAAGACCTGCCACATTTTACAATGGATGAAAAGAAACCTACACCAAGATATGTCACAATACCAAGCTGTGACAAAGAGACAACTGCCAACAATTTCAGAGAGAAAAACAAAACAGGTCACAAACACAAGATGAGGAATCCCAATGACTTCAATCTTTTTACCAGAATCCTGTAACAAGGGGGCAATATACTAAAGGAAATTATTTACAAGTTACAAATTCTATCCAAACTAGTAATCAAACATGAGAGCAAAACAAATACATTTCAGACACACACTTTTACATTTGCTTTCCACAGCACTTTCTTAGAAATTAGAGGACGTGCTCCAACAAAATGAGAGGCAACCAAGAAAGAATGGAATACAGTAAACAGATCTAGCACAGAAGAATGGTGAAGGAAATCCTGGTCCAGATTAGAGTGATGTGAGTCAGAAGACAGACATACTGAAGACTGTCATCTACATATCTCCATTGTGTCTTTTCAAATCTGAGGACAGAAAGCCTTGGTGAAATTGTTCCCAATATATCTGTATTTGACTTGTGTTGACCATCTGCCGATGAATTTCTTAGTTTGCTTAGAAGCAAAAAATACTGAGCAGCTCACTCCCCCTGCCCATATTCCTGCTGGATATCCAGTGGCTGGCTCACACCAAATGCTCTGAGAGATATATATCTCACAGGACTCACTCACAACTTTGCCTTTTGATTTCTTCAGAAAGAGATCTTCTAAACTTTCTCAATAATTTATAAAGCACCGGACAGGCACAGTGGCTCAAGCCTTTAATCCTGGTAATTTGGGAGGCTGAGGCGGGAGGATGGTTTGAGGACAGAAGTTCGAGACCAGCCTGGGCAACATAGTGAGACCCTGTCTCTACAAAAAGTTTTTTAAAAATTAGCTGGGCATTACAGGGCAAAAATTACAGGGCATGGTGGCATGCACCTGTAGTGTCAGCTACTCACGAGGCTGAGGCAAGAAGATCACTTTAGCGCAGGAGTTTGAGGTTGCAGTGAGCTATGATGATGCCACTGCACTTTAGCCTGACAAACAGAGCAAGACTTCGTCTCAAAAAAAAAAAAAAAAAAAGGAAGCAGCAGCAGCGGCAGAATCCAGAGATCCAAATGTTTAGTTTATCTTCTGGGAGCTGCCTTTTATGAATAGCAATACAGTCCTTTCCTTATATTAAGTTTGCATTGGCTATTCACTTTTTCCTAAACTAAACATTGTTATAGGCTACAAATATAGGTAGTAAAACTATATAGAAAAGTAGAGGGATGATTAATACAAAAGTCAAGTATGTTGTTACATCTAGGAAAAAGGAGGGGACTACAACATGAGGGGCACTCACAGCTTCTAAGTACTGGCAATCTTCTACAATTCAATGTCAGAGGTAGGTACATGGGTATCCATTGACTTTTGTCCTTTGACTGTTTATATGTATTCTACTTAGTCTTCTGTGTATATAATACATCTATCAAAAGATATATTAACTGAAAAAGGAAATAAAACTGCATATAAACTATGATTACATGATGTAAGATTAGACAGAAATACCAAAGTGAGAGTGTGTTATGTTAGGGTGGTACAATGATAGATTTTTTTTCTTTTATTTTCTAAAATTTTCTGTGAAGTGTTTAATTATACTACCTTCATAATATTATTTAAAAAGAAACAAAATGAACAGTGGGGAAAATGTATACTACTTATTCATAGCATGAAGGCTAGAACCATGGTTATTTTCTTTGTTGCTATCCTAGCACCTAGCACAGTATCTAGAATTTAGAATATAACAGAGGCTCACTAAATCAGTTAAGTCAGTGTTACTGTAAGAGGTAGTTATAACTGCAGTTTGATCATCAGATTCTTTAACATTGCTTGAAAATCATCATATCTTTAAATGTGTGAATATTCAAATTTGTAGTTGGTTAATACTAGTGTGTGTGTGTGTGTGTGTGTGTGTGTGTGTGTGTGTGTGTGTAACATAGCTTTTTAATTAACAAGGTACAAAAATGGGGAAAAGTATATTATACACAGTTATTTATGCCAAGAGAGAACTTTATCATGTGGATTACTATTATAGCACATTCTTATCAAATGTTCTTATGCCTCATAAACCCCTGCACTATTCTTAGGCCTTATAAACCTAATCTATTTAGGGACTACAGACACCATACTAAAACCAAACAACCTCTCATAAGACTACTGCCAATAGCAGAAAGTTTTTTCTAAACCACTAATATGAAAATATTTCTAGAACAGAAATTATTCTCAGGTGAAGTATTGAAGTTAGATGAAAGAGGAAAGGTTAATGGGTTTCTTTATTAATTCCTAAAATGTCTGCTTCTTAGTAGGCTTTTAATTCAATCCATTTATTATTAAAGCCTCCTTTAAAACACAGTAAGTCCAAGTAGAGAAAGAAATGTGCTTTTGATTTTTAAATGCTTCAAAGTGAATGCTAAAGGCAAAATGCTTTCTATTTTAAAATACATTATTAGTGTTTCCAATTCACTAGAAACAATCTTTTAACTTATACTTTTACTACCTTCAATGGCATCAAACATCTCAATTTGAAATCTACCTTCTCTCAAGTCAATTTTGAAATTCCATTCTACTGCAAAACTGTGTCAATAGTAATTCAAAGTAAATAATCTCACAGTAATAAATATTTGATATATATAGGTCCTGAATCTGATGTGTTCATTTTTTTTTTTTTTTTTTTGAGACAGAGAGTCTCACTCTGTTGCCCAGGCTAGAGTGAGTGGTGAGTGCTGTGGTGTCAGACTAGCTCACAGCAACCTCAAACTCCTTGGCTCAAGCAATCCTACTGCCTCAGCCTCCCAAGTAGCTGGGACTACAGGCATGCGCCACCATGCCCAGCTAATTTTTTCTATATATATTAGTTGGCCAATTAATTTGTTTCTATTTTTAGTAGAGGCTCTCGCTTTGCTCAGGCTGGTTGGTTTCGAACTCCTGCCCTCAAGCTATCCGCCCGCCTCGGCCTCCCAGAGTGCTAGGATTACAGGCGTGAGCCACCGTGCCTGGCCTGATTTGTTCTTTAAATTGTCATGGATTAATTATCAAAACAAATTAAGGCACACTAGTAAGATAAATTGGGAACAAAGAAGACTGGCCTAAAATTTAAAACTATAGATCAATGCTTCTCGAACTTTAATGTAAATATGAATCACTTGGAGATCTTATTAAAATGCAGATTCTGTTCCACTAAGTCGGGGGCTGGGGTCTTAGATTCTACATTTCTAAAAAGTCCCCAGGGGATGGTGATGCTACTGGTCTTCAGAATACACTTAAAGTAGCAAAGCTATAGGCCAACAGTCTGCAAACTATAGTCTTTGAGCCAAATATGGCCTCCTGTTTTGATAAATGAAGTTTTGTTGAAATGCAGCCATGCCCAACCCAGCATACTGTCTATGGCTACTTTCATACTAAAGAGTCAGAGTTGAGTAGCTACAATAGAAACAAATATTTCCCCCTAGATGGAAATATTTACTATCTGGCCCTTTACAGAAAAAGTCTGCTGACTCCTGTTATAGGTAATATCCCAATTGTACTCTCCACACATGGGAAGTAAGAGTAAAGTGGAAGTGTCAATGCCTTTCATAGTTTTGTAGGACTATGTCTTTTTCTTTACATTTTCTAGTACAGTATACCAATGGATCCCTTTTATTTTGTACAGAAACACAAAGACTGTAAGTCTTTATTTGCCAGGCAACTTCCTGCAATGCAAGTAAACCATTACATTTTTTATGAAAATAAGAAATGCTGATCAAGAGACTAAGAAACCAAATCATAAAGAATAAAAAGCCCTGGCCGGGCGCTGTGGCTCACGCCTGTAATCCTAGCTCTTGGGAGGCCGAGGCGGGCGGATTGCTCAAGGTCAGGAGTTCAAAACCAGCCTGAGCAAGAGCGAGACCCCGTCTCTACTATAAATAGAAAGAAATTAATTGGCCAACTGATATATATATAAAAAAAAAAAAATTAGCCGGGCATGGTGGTGCATGCCTGTAGTCCCAGCTACCCGGGAGGCTGAGGCAGAAGGATCACTGGAGCCCAGGAGTTTGAGGTTGCTGTGAGCTAGGCTGACGCCACGGCACTCACTCTAGCCTGGGCAACAAAGCGAGACTCTGTCTCAAAAAAAAAAAAAAAAAAAAGAATAAAAAGCCCTGACAACATTAACAAGTACAGGTATAGTCCTGACCTAACACTCTCCATAGTCAGATTATCCCATTACTTACTCTCGTTAAATCCATGCCCAGCTTGAGCTGTGACAAAAGATGTAGGATAACACTGCGTTGCTCTTCTACAGCTCCCAAGTCATCCTCCTTGTTGTCACATGTGTCTTCTATCTCATCATCCGCATTTATTTCTTCAGGTTCCTTGATGTAGTAAATGAAAGCAAAAATTTGATGTCATAATTACTTATTAACATCCATTGAGAATAACAGTATAAACATCAGATTTGAAGACATTTATGTTGGACCTAAATGAATCTGAATATGGCCAGAGATCTTTCCGAAAATTTAACTTCCATCATTTGGCCATCAAATAAATTTCCTTCAAAGAACCAGTTATTGGGCCAGGCGCAGTGGCTCACACCTGTAATCCTAGCACTCTGGGAGGCCGAGGCGAGTGGATTGCTCAAGGTCAGGAGTTCAAAACCAACCTGAGCAAGAGCGAGACCCCATCTCTACTATAAATAGAAAGAAATTAATTGGCCAACTGATATATATATAAAAAAAAAAAAATTAGCCGGGCATGGTGGTGCATGCCTGTAGTCCCAGCTACCCGGGAGGCTGAGGCAGAAGGATCACTGGAGCCCAGGAGTTTGAGGTTGCTGTGAGCTAGGCTGACGCCATGGCACTCTAGCCTGGGCAACAGAGTGAGACTCTGTCTCAAAAAAAAAAAAAAAAAAAAAAAGAGCCAGTTATTGCTGATATTGAACATATTGTGGTTTTGCCATACGTATCACATATAAAATACATTTTTTAAGGGAAAAACAGGATTTTTCAAAAGGAATAAAGAATGTCTAATCTGAATCTCAGGCCTTGCAGCCTTTGACTGCCCTGCCTGAAGATACCACCTATAATTAAAGTTCAAGATATTTTGAGGAATAAATATTTGCCTTTTCTGAAGCTAAAACTATAAAAGTAAATTTTTAAATTTACTGAATATGTCAAGTCTAACTATTGTAACCTACATTTTACTATTCACTCATTCTTGAAGTTGCCAGGAAGAAAACTTTGTGTTAAAGAGAATACAGGTATGGAAAACCTTGCACTTGCTCATGTAGTCATAATACCACAAAATCTCCCTGTATAGCTCTTTAGTCAACCAATCAATAAAACAAACCTATGTAAAACCAAAAATGTTTGCTTTCATCTTAATAGGCTCCTAGCTCCTAATAACTCTTTAAGAGAAACTTAATTTCATATCTATCATTATTTATTTAGTTTTTTTTATTTAAACCACATGAGAACAGTCCATTTGAATCTATCACTATTTAAACAACAAATAACAGTTTCAAATCACTTTCCATGTTTATATGTGGGGAGTATACCATCCCTCCCAATGGAATGGCTTGTTAGAATCTTTGTGCAAGAGAATTTTATATAAGTATTTTATCTTTTGGTATTCTATTCAATTTTGAGTTATGAGGATTTAAAAAAAAAGAAATGATTGTGTTAATATCTCTGCCTTTGATTTTCTCCTCGAACATCAAATCCTATCAAACAAGAAGCCCACCTGCTCTGTGTAGCTAGACAAAGAAAACCAATTCTGATCAAGTACAAAATCAAGAACTTAGGCCGGGCGCCGTGGCTCACGCCTGTAATCGTAGCTCTCTGGGAGGCCGAGGCGAGTGGATTGCTCAAGGTCAGGAGTTCAAAACCAACCTGAGCAAGAGCGAGACCCCGTCTCTACTATAAATAGAAAGAAATTAATTGGCCAACTGATATATATATAAAAAATTAGCCGGGCATGGTGGCGCATGCCTGTAGTCCCAGCTACTCGGGAGGCTGAGGCAGAAGGATTGCTCGAGCCCAGGAGTTTGAGGTTGCTGTGAGCTAGGCTGACACCACGGCACTCACTCTAGCCTAGACAACAAAGCGAGACTCTGTCTCAAAAAAAAAAAAAAAGAACTTGATATTCTAAAATTATTAAAAACAAAATATAAAATAGGCCAGGCATGATGGCTCATGCCTATAACCCTAGCACTCTGGGAGGCCAAGGCAGGAGGACTCCTTGAACTTAGGAGTTCAAGACCAGCATAAGCAAGAGCAAGACTCCACCTATAGTAAAAACAAAAAAATTAGCCAGGCATCATGGCACATGCCTGTACTAAGGAGGCTGAGGCAGGAGGATTGCTTAAGCCCAGGAATTTGAGGTTGTAGTGAGGTATGATGATGCCACTGCACTCTATCCAGGGCAACAGAGCAAGACTCTGTCTCAAAAAAAATTAAAAAAAAAAAATAATTAATATATATATATATATATAAAATAACAAAGTTAAAGGATAATGGGTTGCTGGTCTTCCTTTTGCCTTTATCTTTCTCCTTTTTCCTTCTCCTTTATATCAAGGAAATCTATACCAGTTCACATTCTGATAAACCAATTAAAGGCCTAGTTCATTTTCTTACATTCAGATCACACAGACAACTAATGCTTGTATATATCAGAATTACTTCTGTTTTTATGTCCTTAAGAAGAGATCCCAAAGGCTTTCTTGATTCCCCTTTCCAATGGCTAGTAAGTCTGTCAGAAATATTTCCTGCTATAGAACCTAAATCAGCTGTACAGTATAGTTTCAGTATACTTGTTATGTCTACTCATTATAAAACAGAGAAAAGCTGATCATCCTCTTCTCTGCATGTAGATACCAAACGTAATAATTACATGAAATTAAATGTAAAACTCCCTGCATACTAAAAAATGCAGGCCGGTGCGCGTGCTCACTCTGTAACCTAGATCTGGAGCCGAGGCGAGGTGGATTGCTCAAGGTCAGAGTTCAGAAACACGCCTGAGCAAGAGCGAACCCCCGTCTCTACTATAAATAGAAAGAAATTAATTGGCCATAATATATGACGAAAAATAAGCCGGGCCATTGGTGGCGCATCCCCTATAAGTCCGCAGGCTACTCAGGAGCCCTAGGCAGCCAGATCGCTTGAGCCCAAAGTTGAAGTTGCCCTGTGAGGGAGGCTGCCGCCATGGCACTCACTCAGCCCTGGGCACAAAGTGAGACTCTGTCTCAAAAAAATAAAAATAAAAAAAAAAATAATGTTCAGTCCTCTGAAAGGGTACCATTACATCTGAAGTCGAAGCCTAGGATACAGATTAATAATACAAATACAGCTTTAACATTTATTTTTAATTATTATGGGTACATAATAGTGTTCAAATATAAGTTGTTTTTGTTTTTTGAGACGCAGGGTCTCGCTCTGTTGTCTGGGATAGAGTGCAGTGGCATCAATGACAGCTCACTGCAACCTCACACTCCTGAGTTCAAGCAGTCCTCTTGTCTCCAGGCCGTCCAATTAGCTGGGAGCTACAAGGTGCATGCCACCCACACGGCAGCTAAATTTTTGCTACTTTTTGTGTAGAGAGTCTTGCTCTTGCTCAGGCTGGATCTTTAACCGACCTGAAGGATCCTCCACTATCTCCCAAAGTGCTAGGGTTATCATGCCCGGCTGCAAATATAGCCGTAACACTATATATAGTTCATACTTTAGAACTTCTTCCAGTGAAAATAATATTAAGGAAATAAAACTTGGCTGCACACAGTGGCTCACTGTGCCTGTATTCTAGCACTCTGGGAGGCTAAGGCGGGAGGATCAATTTAGCTCCTAGGAGTTTGAGAACCAGGCCTGAGAAGAGCGAGTACCGTCTCGACTAAAAAAAATAGAAAGAAGTTAGTTGACAATACTAAAAAGTCATATACGAAAAATTATCTGGGCATGTGGCGGCTATGCCTTAGTCCAGACCAGGGAGGCTGAGGCAGGAGGATCACCGATTCGAGGAGTTTGAGGTGCTGTGATGCTAGGACTGACACCACAGCACCTCTAAGCTGGAAACAGAGTGAGAATTCTGTCCCTCAAAAAAAAAAAAAAAAAAAGGAAATAAAACTTAACCTGGTAGAAAAGCTATTTAAAAGAATACAGTTTTGTTGTTTTTATAAAAATAATTAAATCACTTATTATTAATAGAATTTAAAGAGAAATTATATTAACAAGTAGATACTAATTCTAAATCTTGGTGTCAATGAAAGAATTTAGAAGCTCTGCTTTCTTTTTGAAACACCTCTTATTAGTCATCATGTCTTTCTTAAAGAAAAGCTTGTGGTAAAAATATACTATTTAAATTTAGGAGGGATGGTGAAGATAAAAAATTTAACAAAATTCAAATTAAAAATTAAATTACATTAAAGTAGAAAAATAAATTCAAATAAACATGCTCAAATGTATAAAATCCTAACAAACCCAGAATGGTTAGCAAATACAGCATCAAAAGCTGATGAATTTCTAGGAATTCATACTATTTAGAGGTTGCATGGTAAAGGGAAACCATGACATTCCACAAAACTCATACTAATCCCACTTTTGTCTTTCTAATTTCTGACTTAGGGCATGGAGGAACTATGGGCTTCATTCTAGTCTCACAGGGATTTATCTTTTCCCTCACCTGGCAGCAAAATGTCCACTACTATCATAGAGGTCTCTAGCTTGCATTAACATGTTTCAAAGAAGGCAGCTAAGAAACTTTTGGAAAATTCAGGTCTATTCTGGTGTACTTGAGTGGAGTCTAACGTACTGAAATTTTAAATATCTATGTGCTTAATTGTTTTCCACTTAAACTAGGTGATGAACTTGGTCTACTCATCATTTCACAAGATTTGGAAATACAGCAATCATCTCCCCCATAACCCTGTGCCCCATCTCTAACATATGCCTCTATCCTGACTTCCCACATATTCTGTGTTCTCTTTTAGAAGAGTGAAGATGTTGGAGTATCTGACTTTTAATTTATCATTTTTCCCTTACAAATTATATTTCTAGCCCTGATTTCTCTCCAAAGCTTTGGCTCCATTATCTTAATTGCTTTTTATATACATCATAATCATATATCCTCCTCTCATGTTAAATTTAACATTAACTATACTAAACCTTTTCTCTCAAAGGTTCTTTCTTCCTAATTTTCCTAGCTTTGTGAATGCCACCACAATCTTTTCTAGTCATTTAGGTTCAAAAACTTGGGAGTCATCTTTAATCCAACCCTATATCCAGTGAATCACAAGTCCAATTGAGTTTTCATTTGTTTTTTTCCCCTGTCTTTTACCACTGAATGATTTTTCATTTGAAATGTACTTACCTATTAATTTGTTTTCATTTCTACTTCCATAGCCTTCTATTCACAGGTTTTTTGTTTGTTTGTTTGTTTTTGAGACAGGATCTTGCTCTGTCACTCAGGCTACAGAGCAGTGGCATCATCATAGCTCACTGAAACCTCAAACTCCTGGGCTCAAGCAATCCTTCTGCCTCAGCCTCTTGAATAGCTGGGCTTTACAGGTGTGTACTACCACACCCAGCTAATTTTTCTATTTTTTATAGAGATGGAGGTCTTGCTATGTTGATCAGGGTGGTCTCAAACTCCTGGGGACAAGCAATCCTCCCATCTCTGCTGCCATTACAGGTATGAGGCACCATGCCCAGCCCTATTCACATTTTAATTCTAAGTCATTTCATATACCAATCTCCTTAAACATATTATATCTTTCCCCATGCTCATGGCACTGTTGTCATTAAGACTAAATTCTTCTGCAAAATTTTTATGTTCTTTGGGGGTACAATTTACACAGTATTCTATGGAGTGGTGCTCCAGGGAGTATCTATGGAATACAGAGAGTGCAACATGAATAGTGCCAGATGCTCTGGTTAATTCATTTTAGCATAACATAATAATCTTACGAAGTATTATTAGCCTGAATTTACAGATGAGGACATTGAAGCTGAGAGTGGTTAACTGGCTGACATGTTGGCAAATGGTACATCCTAGGTTCCCAACCACCAGACAAGCTTTCTCCTCAATAAATATATATGCCTTAGTATCCCTGCTCATGTTACTCCTCTACCTTAAGACCCCCCCCCCAATTACTCTTCCTCCTCTCTTCAAATCCTGTCTCCTTTCAAAGCCCAATTCCAATACCACTTTCTCTTCAAAGCATTTCTCATCCACTCAACTCAGTCTTCCTATTCTCTGAATGTCCACATCCCAATAGCCTAAACCATATCAATTAAGAAAAATATATTGCTTTATATTATTATCTTATTGTTTCAGTACATATGTTTGTGACTCCAAACAGAGTGTAAGTCTCTTCAGTGGAAGCACTGTGTCTTACATTTTTTGCTTCTCTTGCAATCCCTAACATTGGACTTGCCATATACTAGATAACTTAATAAACACTTGCTGTTTGTCTATAAAAATGAGCAAGTCAAAAAGCTAGTAATATATGAAAAAAACAGTAAACAAGATAATAAAGTGCTGTTTATAATAACAAAAAATAAACAACCTAGATACTCAACCATAGAGACATTAACTCAATAGCCTATTTTAACCTTTAAAACTTTAATTACATGGGCCAGAACAACATAGAAAAATACTTATGAGAGTATCAAGTAAAAATAGCTTAAAATAAAACTATTCATGTAATTATGGCCATAAAAATAATAGACATTAACACAAAAGGCAAAAAAACAGTAAAATTTGCTACAGTGGCAGATCTGTAATACTGTTCAGCTTCTATGAAATTTGGAATGAATAATGATTTATAACAATGTTAAACCCTGGCATCATGTGCTATTTTAAATAGAGTAATACTTAAAACAACTGGTTTGGTAAAATGCTTACTATCAAAAAGACTTAATAACAAACTTTTAAGCTTATAAACTTAATAGTAAACAATGTTAAATTAAGATAATGGGGTAAGAAATGTAAGAGGTAAACACTGTACAAATCTTATTAGATAAGTTACTTTTTAGAATAAGAAAAATATGCAAATGTCAATTTTTAAAATATATTCTTATCAAGCAAAAGTAAACCAAAACTAAAAAGGGCACATAATTTAACCTAGAAAATACCACATGTACAAGAGACATCTTCCAAAACAAATGCAGTTTAAAGTAGAACAACAAAGTTTAGAATCTGCAAGACTGTTGCTTTGGTGTTAACTTGCATGCTCTGATAACGAAAAGATAACTGATCCTTTTCAGTGATTCCTAATTTTTTACATCAAAACCATATTTTCATATTACCTTACCCTTGCTAATAGTCCAGATTCTGCAACAGACTGCTCTTCTGGGACTGCCACTGGCTTACTCTGCTCAGTTGTGAAGGGCTGGTCAGCTTCATTTTTATAGTGATTTGATAAAGGTATCTTTGGTTCTAACCACTCGATTGTCGTTCCTGATGAAGTAAGAGAAAACTTTCGCTGAAACTTGCTCATAATCTGGAAAGTTCAGCAGATGTGGATTTTATTAAACAATTTTGTTTTGAGCCTACAAGACTAAAAGCAATTCAACCTGTAAAGAGACCCTGCAAGACAGCCACTTGTATCTCATTAGCATGAGCACCATGATTGGATATTTAACAACTGAGCAACTTGCGACTTGCAATCAGATACTATTTAAAAGAAATCAACTCTTACTAGAACTGAATTCACTTCTTGGGCAAGTCTGTGAATCCTGAAGTGTACTCCCAACCTAACAGTTGATTTGCTGTCCTCTTTGTATGAACCCTATCCCTCTAATCAAAAAGTATGCAAATTAGGCTTTAGAGGGTTCACAACTACAGTAGGAGTCTGGGACTGTAAAACAGTACAATCTGCTTCAATTTAGGATTAAAGCTTATTCTCAGCAGCAATCTTCTAAACAATCAAAATAATCCCCTGGATCTATCAAGAGCTGCACATATATGTCCTTCTTTTTTTGCAATCACAAAAAAGCACCATGTAACTTTAAAACTGAAAGACTCTTCTACTGAATAAATAATAACTGACCTAGCGAAGACAGTGGTCACATTTGCAAACCTGTCATCTTCTCAGTTAATGATTCAAATGTCTCTTGTTACCCTCAACTAGTTTAACAAAGTGGATTCTATGCCTAATCAATAATGGAAAATGTTCCATTTGATTTCAAAGGCTGATCTAGGTTTCACAGAAGCTTGGTTATAAAGGGCTATCATAAAGGATACTCAGACTACTACAGCAGAAATTTAAAAGAGTAATGAATTTACTCAGTCTATAACAAAATCCCAGATTTCACTGTAGGAATAAATTAAAAAGTGCCAGGCTACCAGAGCATCTTCCCTTGTTCAGTCTTATTTGGTACTGGGGAAATTCATGACTGGGAGAATGTCTTGGATATGGGTAAGTTCATGGGTACTGTTTTAAAATTTCAAAGAAATGAAAATATTTTGTTCCTACATCAAAATGTTTATTTTTAATATCAACATCCAGATTTCAGACAGGCTCAGTGGCTCACTCCTGTAAGCCTAGCACTCTAGGAGGCTTAGGCAGGAGGATTGCTTAAGGACAGGAGTTTGAGGTTGCAATAAGCTATGATGACACCACTGCACTCTAGCACAGGGGGGTGACAGAGCGAGACTGCCTAAAAAAAAAAAAATCCAGATTTCCTTACTTCCAAAAATAAAATGCACACAAACATTAAATTTAACAGATCTGTTTTAAGTGATTGCTCATCTGACTGGAAATCATAACAAAACTCTTTTCAAACCCATCATGAGTCTCAGGTCCCCTCTAAATCTGTGATCTCTAATCAGCGTTTGGATAACAGACATTAAGACCTTATTAAAGACTAATTTGAATTTAGGTTTCATTTTATTTTTTTGTCATCTCAAAACTTGAGTGGGAAAGCAATTCAGTTTTTCTTTCCACAGTTACATTTTCATTCTCAAGTGACTTAAAGAATAAATTTCTACAGACCTAATCTGGGAAATATAGCTATTTACAGTGAGAAATACCAATGACAGTAATTCAGTTCTCCCAAAAACCCACAGATCTGTGCTCCAAAAAATAATGATACAATAGAACAACTTTCACTTTAAACACTTTTGTAAAGTTTACAATGTGCTTCACTTTTGTAATTAAAAAATGCAAATTTATACTATGCATGCTTCCTTAATCATGAAGCAAACATTTAAGAATAAGACTGTAAGGCCGGGCGCTGTGGCTCACGCCTGTAATCCTAGCTCTTGGGAGGCCGAGGCGGGCGGATTGCTCAAGGTCAGGAGTTCAAAACCAGCCTGAGCACCGTCTCTACTATAAATAGAAAGAAATTAATTGGCCAACTGATATATATATAAAAAATTAGCCGGGCATGGTGGCGCATGCCTGTAGTCCCAGCTACCCGGGAGGCTGAGGCAGAAGGATCACTCGAGCCCAGGAGTTTGAGGTTGCTGTGAGCTAGGCTGACGCCACGGCACTCACTCTAGCCTGGGCAACAAAGCGAGACTCTGTCTCAAAAAAAAAAAAAAAAAAAAAGAATAAGACTGTATATTAATTTAAACCATATAAATGAAATTTCTAAGAATTTTAAAAATTACATAGTAGTTAATCAAGTGTTTTTTGAGCATCTAATATCTAGCACTGTGCTACTTGATGTACTTTCAAAAACTAAGTAGTATAAACTGGAAACAAACTGTTTCATTTTACTAACAAAATTATTATTACCAACACTAGAATTAACCCAAATTTCATAGCTCAGAGTAACTCTATTTTCCTATTTAACATAGGAAAATAATTAAGTAAACCAAAGTACATCTGTCTCCTCAAAGGAATATAATGCAGCTAATAAAAATTGTGTTTAAATTGTCCATATAAGGGGGGGGAAGGGTATTTATTGAAACCTTAAAATCTGTACCCCCATAATAGGCCAAAATAAAAAAGAAAGAAAGAAAGAAAGAAAGAAAGAAAGAAAGAAAGAAAGAAAGAAAGAAAGAAAGAAAGAAAATTGTCCATATAATCAGAAAATATTTTTGATAGGGTAAAATAAACAAAAATTAAGAATATAAAAGAAAAAACTGTGGGGGGGGAGCACACTAATAACATATTAACAGAGGTGCTTTCTGGTTGGTAGGACAATGCATGCTTTTGTTTCTTCTTTCAACTCTATGGTATTTTCTAAATTTTCTATAATGGGTGTGTTGCTTTATCACAGGAGAAAATTTATATTGGACTACTTACAATTCCTACATGGCACCAACAAAAGTCTGTAAAACACAATCAGGCTCTTCTCTTTGGAATAGCCTCTTTTCTACCTCTCACTCTTAAACTAATTGGTCTTCATAGCTTTTCTAGAAAGCTTTCCCAGACCTTTTCCTAGGCAGGCATATATTCTCCCATAGTACTTTGTTCCTAATGTTAGTAGCACCTTACATGTTATTTTATAGTTATTATTTACGTTTCCTCCTCAAGTGAGCTATGAGTTCTTTAAGGAGAACATATATAACTTATTATCCTCTTTCAATATTGTCCTGATCTATATCCATAACAGCCAATGAAAATAGTTTATTGGCTTAAAATGTTGAATTTGGGCACAGATGAGGATGAGATCCATACCATATCCATCTAAGGGAAACTTTTTCCTGAGCAAAGACTCATAGATCTTGCTAAAATATCTTTCTTTTATAAGTAAGGGACGTCAGCTGCATAAGAGAAAAATGAATTGTTGCAAAATACTAAATTACTACCATTAATACAATGTGGTAATCTTATGAATCTGATTTATAGAAAGATTCATTTTTGTACTCCCATACAACATTCTTTTCCCCAGTACAATGTCAACAAATAGGCATTCTCCATTACTAGATACACACATTATTTTTTAAACTGAAAAGTGACTGATTGTTATGTATATTTGTATATTTATACACACACACATATGGAATAATGATGAATAGCAGACTAAACTGACTCTCAAAACATAATCCCAACATTTCTACTCTGGTCAATTGGATAGATAGATGGATAGTGATGCCACTAATTTTAACAGAAATCCAAGAGATGTGGGTTTTGAGTTCAGTTTTTGACATGTTCAGTTTGAAGTATCTAAGGAAACATTCAATGATATTAGATATGAGTCCTAAAATCATTTTAGAATCAAAAAAGGACATAATTAGAAAGAATTTGTGCATTAATGTGATTATTAAACCAAGAGGCTCACTGGTTTTCTATTTTTTTTTTTTTTTAACTAAGATTTTTCAGAAGTTAGAGTTACAACAAATGCAGTCCTTTCCATGTTTTGGCCCTCATGTTAAGTCCTACCTTTAATCTATGACTCACCTGAAGGCAATGAGCCCTTCTGATGTGACGCATGCTGCAACTGGAGAATATGAAAGCAGTCATTTAAGCAGTTCATAGTTGCCATGGAAGTAGCTTTGAGCATTAAGAGATCCTGGTCCAAGGAACTAAGATGGCCAGAAGTAGGAAGGCATTCGATTCGTCTAATTAAGTCTCTTTGTTGTCCTTCAGCATGAGACATCATCTAAGAAAAACAACAATTCTGTGGGTCCCACTCATGATTTCTACATACATACAGTTGTGATTTTAATTATCATTTCAGCTTCTGGAGGCATTTTAAAAGACATATTAGGCTTAGAAATCTATCTTAAGTTTGGCTATTTTCAATTAGTGAGCATTTAATGGGGCTTATCAACTGAGCAAAAGACTGTGACCTTAGGCAGCTACAATTTTTCTCTAGAAGCAACAAAGCTCAAAAGATTTGCCACTTTTTATTAACAGTATTAAACAGTATTATATTCATAAAAGTCATCATTAATAAACATTCCAAAACATCTTTTAACAGCAGCATTAAATATTTCATTCTAAAGTAAAATTAATTTCCAGTGTAGGCTCTCAACCACTTTATTTTCACATCTCTTATCAGGCTCAATTTGAACCTACATTGAGAACAGGATGGTTTACCTGCTTCTCTTTCCTAACCTAACTTCCTGGTCCTGTCAGGCTGATTTTGGAGCAAATACTGGATATAAGCTTTTCAGGTTAAAATAATTTAATATACTCTGATTTGTTTAGGATCCCTGTCTACTTTTCCTAACAGAGCCAATGGAATAACAGTCATTGATGATCTACCCAATTTTTTAGATGAAAACTGTATGTATGATGCTTAATTACTTTCAGTTGTGAGCAGAAGGGTCTTAAATTGCCCATCCTTTGAACATTAGTTAAACTCACATAGAAACTAGCAAGGCTGGTGCGGTGGCTCATGCCTATAATCCTAGCACTCCAGAAGGCTGAACTGGGTAGACTGCTTGAGCTCAGGAGTTCAAGACCAGCCTGAGCGACAGCGAGACCCCCCATCTCTACTAAAAATAGAAAAAAATTAGCCAGGCATGGTAGCAAGCACCCGTAGTCCCAGCTACTCAGGAGGCTGAGATAGGAGGATTGCTTGAGCCCAGTAGTTTGAGGTTGCTGTGAATTAGACTGATGCCACAGCACACTAGCCTGAGTGGCTTTCTGTCTCAAAAAAAAAAAAAAAAAAAAGACAGAAAGAAAGAAAGAAACTATAGTGGACAGACTTAGCTTTCAGAGGCTCTGTTGCAGGTGATTTTTAATACAGTTCATCAGAGGGCTAGTGAAAGAGAGATGCAAAATGATCCCACCAAGCAAATGAAGTATATCATACATAAAACAGCCCCTGAAAATATGTACCATAGATAAGGAACATTTACCTTTCCCAGAAAAAAAAAGGTTTTAAAAGAGAAGTGTGGATATGAAGGTATATATAGATGCGTATGTGTACTTTGTATTTGTGTACCCCAAAGGAATACATAATATATGATTCCAGTTTTAGAAATTTCAAAAATAGGCAAAACATGCCTATTGGGTTAGAAGTCAGGATACAGAGGAAGGGTGTGGTGACGGAGAGGCATAAAATTATCTTCTAGGTTATTGGTAACATTTAATTTCTTGATCCAGGAGAAATTACATAAAGAAGTACACTTAGGATTTGTGTGCTTTTTTATGTGTTATAAGCCCATAAAAGTTTAATAAAGGAAAAAATCTTACCTAAGATATTTACAGAGTAATCAGAAATCACAATGTAACACTTGAAAAGATAAAGTGTGTTTCTTTGTGCAAAAGGCCCCAAAAAAGCCACCTGCTAGCACTGATGCTACAAATGAAGAGGTCTAAGAAAGTGATATTCTTGGCTAGAAAAAATAAACTTTATAATTATAGTATAAATGTTAAAATTTAGTAATGGCTTTCTCCAAAACAAAATAAATGAGTTGATCACATATATTCAAAGAAATGGAAAAGTGATTTGTGAAACTGTTTAGTGATTGTTCCTGACACTATAAAACCAGTTCCTTGGCTGGGCGCAGTGGCTCAAGCCTGTAATCCTAGCACTCTGGGTGGCCGAGGATCGTTTGAGGCCAGGAGTTCTCAGTTCTTGCCTGAGCAAGAGTAAGAACCCGACTCTACTAAAAAATAGAAAAAAATTAGACGGGCAACTAAAAATGAAAAAATTAGCTGGGTGTGGGGGCACATGCCTGTAGTCCCAGCTACTTGGGAGGCTGAGACAGGAGGACTGCTTGAGCCCAGGAGTTTGAGGTTGCTGTGAGCTAGGCTGATGCCACCACGGCACTCTAGGGCAACAGAACAAGATTCTGTCTCAAAAAAACAAAAACAAAAAACATTTCCTTAAGAAAAAGAAAACTTCAGGAAATCTGAAAACTTGGTCAACCAATGTTTTGTAGCTAAGATATGGCAATTATGGTAACAGTAGTGGATCATTCAGGTAGCATCTAGTTTGTTTAAAAATCTGATTAGAACCATGATTTTAATCACTTGTGTTTTAAATTGTCTATCTTACTTACTGGACTGGTCATTTGAGCCCAGGAGCTCAGACACAGTACCAGCACGAAACATGCACTGAAAATGGAGGGAACTGATAAGCAGCGCTAGTAATAAACAGTAAATATTAAAATAGATAATTTTAATTAGGTAAAACTTTTGTAATATGTGTTCAAGCACAATATGACACTATTCCCAAGAGTCAATTGCTTTTGCCAACTGTTCCTTAATCTAACTAGATTTACCCATGGACTTTGACTAAAATGTCCCTTTCAAACTCACTGTGAATTATACCTGTGCATCGCAACCTCCTGGAGCTGGTTAATTATAGAATAGTAATTCTCAAAGTGTGCTCTGCAGACTTCTCAGGATTCCTTTCGGAGGGTCTTTTAAGTCAAAATAATTTCATAATAATTCTAAAAAGTTATTTGCCTTTTTCACTGTAATGACATTTGTGTTGATGGTACAAAAGCAATAGTGGGTAAAACTCCTAGGATGTTAGTGAGAACAACCCTACTAGTGGTCACGGTATTCTTCACCTGCCACGAACACACAGAAGAAAAACAGCCAGTTTTATTTAAGAATGTCCTTGAAAAAGCAGCAAGAATAATTAGGTTTACTGTATCTTGACTCTTGAGTACATGTTCTTTAAAATTCTCTAAGAGAAAAATGGAAGTACACACAAAGCACTTCTGCTTCATACTGAAGTACAGACCTTGCCTAGAGGAAAAACACTTGTGTGACTGAGCTGCAAGCTGAACTGCCCCATTTTTTTCACAGATTACCATTCTGATGTGAAAGAATGACTGACAGAAACTATGCATATTCAGGGTTAGGAGTATGTGGTAGACATTTTCTAAAAATTGAACAAAATGGGCCTATCACTTCAAAAACAAAACAAAACAAAACAAAACAACTGACAATATGACAGTATTTGTTACCAATATAAAATTTGAGCTTTAACTTTGGGAGGCCGGGGCAGGAGGATCACTTGAGGCCAGGATTCGAGAGCAACCTGGGCAATATAGAGAGACCCCAACTCTACAAAGAAAAAAAAATTAGCTAGGCGTGTAGTGCGCACTTGTATAGCCCTAGCCAGTCCTAGCCACTTGAGAGGCTGAGACAAGAACACCTGAGTCCAGGAATTTGAAGCTACAAGAGTGAGCTATGATCGCACCACTGCACTCCAGCCTGAGTAACAGAGTGAGACCCAGAGTCACCAAAAAAGTCACCAAAAAAGAAAAAAAATTAAGCTTTAAAATGAAAATGACAATTTTGGAAAGCCTTTATCTGCCACCATAGGTTTGACAGCTTTCTAACACTAAAAGCCTTTTCTGATGAGATTCAGAGAATGTTAATAAACATGAATTTTAGATACTGTATAATAAAATGAATTACTGTAATCCTAGCTCTTGGGAGGCCGAGGCGGGAGGATTGCTCAAGGTCAGGAGTTCAAAACCAGCCTGAGCAAGACCCCGTCTCTACTATAAATAGAAAGAAATTAATTGGCCAACTGATATATATATAAAAAATTAGCCGGGCATGGTGGCGCATGCCTGTAGTCCCAGCTACTCGGGAGGCTGAGGCAGAAGGATCCCTTGAGCCCAGGACATTGAGGTTGCTGTGAGCTAGGCTGACGCCACGGCACTCACTCTAGCCTGGACAACAAAGCGAGACTCTGTCTCAAAAAAAAAAAAATAATAAAAAATAAAATAAAATAAAATGAATTAATATGTGTAAGACCTGCATAACTCTATGAACTAATATCTCCCAAATGACTAACAAACTCATGGTGTTACAAAATCATGTAGAGGTTAAAGACCCATTCAAAGTGAAGGACCAACCAATGGATTTTCATGTAACGAAATACAAAAAAGTTCACTGATAAGTATTTGGATCTCACATTGCACTTAACATTTAGGAAACTACCAGTTGTCAAGTTTTAGTGCAGTATCAAAGAACAGCCATAATTATCTGACAAGGCTATTAAAATGTTCCTCTTTCTTCTGAGCACGTATCTGTGTGAGGCCAAATTTTCATCATACATTTCAACCAAAACAACATATTGTAATAAATTGAATAATACACAGAAGCAGATATGAGCAACATGCTGCATTCTATGAAGCCTGACATTGAAGAGATTGCAAAAATGTAAAGACAATCCACTCTTTTCAATGATTATTCTGGAAAAGATCATTTATGATAAAAACATTTATGTTAACATGTAATAGGTTTACTAATTTTTATTTTATTGAATATTTTATAAAATACTTAATTTTAATTTCTTAGTTTTCATTTATAATAAGGTAAATATCAATAAACTTAACCCATATAAAACAAAAGCTCTTTGAAGTCCTCAATAATTTCTAAAAGTCCTCAATAATTTCTAATGAAAGGGGTCCCACGACCAGAAATTTTGAGAACTGCTACCAGACTGACTTTGAGAACCATAAGTCAGTCTGGTATCAAAAATTTTCTCAATATCTTGGAAGAGAAACAGGGTTTGTACAGTCTCAAAGTATCTCCCCAAAGATATATATTAACTACAAAGGGAATATAGCAACTTTACAGTGGATAAATCCAGTAGAGGGCACCTTAACCACCTTACTAGGCCAGCATCACTAGTAATAAGACATAGTGACATCATAAACTACTTGATATGATGTACTGAGGATACAACATCTTCCCAAAAATGTATAATCTCATTCAAACCATGAGAAAGCATCAGACAAACCCAAATTTAGGAGCATTAAAAATAATAAATGATCTGGCCAGACGTGGTGGCTCACATCTGTAATCCTAGCACTCTGGGAGGAAGAGGTAGAAGGATCTCGCTTGAGCTCAGGAGTTCGAAACCAGCCTGAGCAAGAGCGAGAAGCAGCCTCTACTAAAAACAGAAAAATTAGCCAGGTGTCGTGGTGCCTGCCTATAGTCCCAGCTACTCAGGAGGCCAAGGCAGAAGGATGCCTTGAGCCCAGGAGTTTGAGGTTGCTGTGAGCTAGGCTTATGCCATAGCACTCTAGCTAGCCCAGGCAACAGAACCAGACTCTATCTCAATCAATCAGTCAACAAAATAATCTATAATTTTCATAAATGTCAAGTCATGAAAGGCAAAGAAAGACTGAAGAACAATTACAGACTGGAGGAGACTAACTAGAAATAATTAAATGCAATGTAGGTTCTTGAACACGATCCAAAACCAGAAAAAGAACATTAATGGAAAAGCTGCTGAAATTTGAATAATGACTATAGTTACTAGTATTTTTTCAATACAACTTCCTGATTTTGATAATCATATACTCTGGTTATATAAGATCATGGAAAACTGGGTGAGGGATACAGAGAAACCCTGTGCTGTTTTTCCAACTTTTCTGTAAATTTTAAATTAGTTCAAAATAAGAAGCTTTCTAAAAGTTTTCTCAGCTAGTGAAAACTGTTAATTATGGTTTTAGCTTAACACAAATATTTTTAGTCTTTGGCCTCAATAAAAACTGCTTTGGAAAGGCTTAGAAATTTTCCCAAAGGCTTTTACTTATTCATAAACTGCTTGTCACTCCCACAAGGAAATACATTTAAGCCACAAATTGAAACCAGATTCTTAATCAGGTGGCATGATAAACAAGACTAGGAAACAATATGCCCCCCAGGGACTAGATTATGATGATTTTAAATAATCAGCAATAAGCTAAATTTTAAAGGGAAAAGTGGTTCTGAAGTATTTTTTTAATATTTGTCTGGGCAACAAAAAAATGGTCTAAACACTCCAAAAGGATTCTCAGAAATAGAATTATTCCATTGGAACACAGAAATATTCCTAATGTAGTCATAATCTTATAGTTTGACATAATATGGCCTGAAATGCAAAAATACGAACATAGTAAAGACACAGACACACAGCTAAGACATTTTTTTAATGCACACGTGAGAGGGGTGGCAGTAGCACAGGGACTGCTAAACAACAGTCACCACCCAAACCTTAGAATTATTACTAGAGCCATAATTCAAGGAGACACTGCCATTGAACTGGTCAATTCTGTAAATTAATACCTGTCCTTCCCAAAGAGGTAGCTATGAAAATTTGGAGGCACACTTGCTCTATACACAAGAGCCAGAGTTACAGTAAATATTAATATGCTATATATGAAAAGTATATTTAAAAAACACAGGCTTGGCGCGCTGGCTCACACCTGTAATCCTAGCACTCTGGGAGGCCGAGGCGGGCAGATTGCTCAAGATCAGGAGTTCGAAATCAGCCTGAGCAAAAGTGAAACCCCGTCTCTACTATTAATAGAAAGAAATTAATTGGCCAACTAATATATATACAGAAAAAAATAGCCGGGCACAGTGGCACATGCCTGTAGTCCCAGCTACTCGGGAGGCTGAGGCAGGAGGATTGCCTGAGCCAAGGAGTTTGAGGTTGCTGTGACCTAGGCTGACGCCACGGCACTCACTCTAGCTTGGGCAACAAAGCGAGACTTTGTCTCAAAAAAAAAAACCATAAAAACACAGAACATGAGAATAAGAATATTGTAAGAAATTACTGATGGACCAGTGAGAACACCAAAATACTCATTAGAGATGGAAAAAAAAGAAAAGGTTGATCAAAGCCTTCACAACTGAAGAGAAGCTTACAGAGATATGACAATGGTCTCAGTACATCAGGTCACAAAAACTCAAGTACAACCAAACAGAAGGCCTCTACAGAGGATAGAGTCTCAAACACAAAAAGATCCCTTTTTCCTGAAAAATGTGTTGTAATACATGACAACTTCAACTATATGCTTTTTGCTTGTTTATAATTTTTAACTAAAAGCTACTGGCATACAGTGTACAACCATACATATCACAAGTGTATGGGCTTAATCAATTTTCATAAACCAAACACACCCAGACTTAAAAACAGAAAATTACCAGCATCCCAGAAGCCTCCTTTGAACTCCCATCACTAGCCATGATTGAAGAGTTCCAAGAATTTCATGGCTGCTTTGTTTTTTTAAGGGTTAAGGAACATGGCAAGGCGTGGTGGCTCATACCTGTATCCTAGCACTCTGGGAGGCCGAGGTGGGCAGATAACTCAAGGTTAGGAGTTCGAAACCAGCCTGAGCAAGAGTGAGACTCCGTCTCTACTAAAACTAGAAAGATTAATTGGCCAGATTTAGTTTGAGGCCAGATTTAGTTTGAGTTTGAGGTTGCTGTGAGCTAGGCTGACGCCATGGCACTGTAGCCTGGGCAACACAGTCACAAGGAAGGGAGGGAGGGAGGGAGGGACACACTTATGACACAAGGCTGCCCCTAAATGTTTTTACTTATTCTACCCTTTGTATCTTAACCACTTTCAATGTTTCCTTTTAGATTAAGATATAAGCACCTTGGTTTCTTTTTTCTTTTCTTTTTTTTTTTTTTTGAGACAGAGTCTCTCTTTGTTGCCTGGGCTAGAGTGCTATGGCATCAGCCTAGCTCACAGCAACCTCAGTCACCTGGGGGCAAGCGATCCTCCTGCCTCAGCCTCCGAGTAGCTGGGACTACAGCATGTGCTAATTTTTTCTATATATATTAGTTGGCCAATTAATTTCTTTCTATTTATAGATAAACGGGTCTCGCTCTTGCTCAGGCTGGTTTCAAACTCCTGACCTCGAGCAATCCGCCCACCCCGGCCTCCCAGAGTGCTAGGATTACAGGCGTGAGCCACCGCTCCCGGCGAGCACCTTGGTTTCCTTAAAAGACAAACACTGACATTTATCTACAAATTGAATACATTTATCATCGGCCTATTAAAATATACTGTTAACTATAACTTGTGTATAAACAGGACTAGAAAGTGAATCAAGAGCTATTGTCTGTATATCTCAAGCATGCTTACTTTATCTCTCTAAACCTCAATTTCTTCATCTATAAACACAATCCAAAATAACTGGATAGGCCGGGTGCTGTGGCTCACGCCTATAATCCTAAATTAATTGGCCAACTACTATATATAGAAAAAATTAGCCGGGCATGGTGGCACATGCCTGTAGTCCCAGTTGCTCAGCAGGCTGAGGCAGCAGGATTGCTTGAGCCCAGGAGTTTGAGGTTGCTGTGAGCTAGGCTGACGCCACGGTACTCACTCTAGCCTGGGCAACAAAGCGAGACTCTGTCTCAAAAAAATAAATAAATAAAAATAAAAATAACTGGATAGGGGATACAGTCTCCCTAGCCTCATGCCTTAATTCATTTGGGTGTCATGTTTTATATTTTCACCAATCCACTACATAGATATCTATGAATTCTACCAAATTAAACTCAGTAAACAATGCTTGGAATATTTAGAACTTAAACTATATCCTCTGTTAACTAGCATTATTCACTAGACATTAAAAGAGAAGAAGAGAGAAATGGTGATATAAGGCAACATCAAGGATTTAACTATTCTATTTTTGTGTAGCTTTGAAATTTTCTATATATATCAATTTTTTAAAAATCACTTATTTGGTTATATAGCTTTCCCACTAGGCTTAATAACCATTTTGATAATAAATTTTACATCAAAGAAATCTATACTTTTACTTGTGAACTGAAAGATGGAAACAGACTTTTGAAAACTGACAGTGGTACCTAGTTGACAGACATAATGAAACTTAGGAAACTATACATTGTCGGTGAATCTTTATGATTTAAAAAGTATCGCAGTATACTAGACGGGAAACAATGAGGGACGCCAAAGACACACACAATACTTAGAAAATCTTAGTGACAAAACCAAGCATGTAAGATATCACTTTGTGCATTTTAACTTGACTTCAATTTATACTTACTTCTCTGACTTCCACAAGATGGTCTGGAGGTAAGTGAGCTCTTTTGCTCACTGATTGCAGTTTGGAATGTCCAACATTAAAAAAAGAAATAGCATTCTGACTTGGTCTCCTCTGGGATATAGGAGAATTACCACTAGATGCAAGTGAGAAGCTTCGTGACTTCAGGGGAGGATTATTCTGTTCGACAAAGAAAATCATTCTTTTTTTAAAATTTAGGTTCCCTAACCATCAAACTATTAAACACTGAGGCTTACACACAGTTTTTAAAATTAAATTAACTTCCGAATTGATTATAAGAGCATTTCTGATGATGAGATTTGAGATAATCAAAGTTTAAGTATTGACACATTCCAACGTAAACTAATAATATATTTAGAAAAATAATTTCATGTTTTGTGCTGTAGAAAAAATTTCACATTTTACAATTAGAATAACAAAAACCTGGTAATTTCAGTTTCTTAAATACCATGATTAAAGCAAAATATGTACTCAGCAATATGCACTATAATACACTTCCTAATGTAACATGCAAGTATTTGTTAGAACAAACTAGTACTTTTTGATCACTGCCACTGACTATGAGAAAAAGCTATTGTGCTGGATTTCCTGTAGACTAGTCTATATATAGGCCTAAATTACAAATAATTTTTAGAAATTTACTTGGGGAAAACCACCAGGAAGAATGAAAAAATAGTAAAAGTTAGCACCTATGTATAAAATCCTTTAAATATGCTGCCCAAATATTACTTTTTAGATATCTCTAACCTCAGATTTCAAGTACTCAGACTCCCTTTTTCACCTTAAAAAATAAAAAACAGTCCAAAGAATATATACAAATGACTGACCAATTATGCACATGAAAAGATGTTCCACATGTAAAGACTCTACTTCACATCCACTAAGATGGCCATAATAACTTATTTAAAAAAAAGGACAATAACAAGTGTTGGCAATGATAAAGAGAAACTGGAACCCTCATACATTATTGACAGGAATGTATAATGGTGTGGCCACTTTGGAAAACAGTTTGGCAACTCCTCAAAAAATTAAACATAAAACTATCATATGACATAGCAATTTGACTCCGAGATATATACCCTAGATAACTGAGATGTTCACACAAAAAATATCAAACACAAATGTTCATGGCAGCATTACTCATAATATCTATAAAATGGAAACAAGCTAAATGTCCATCAACTAATAAATGGATAAAAAAGTAGTATATCTATATAATGGAATATTATTCAGCCTTTAAAAAGGAAAAATCTTGATACATGCAACAACAGGGATGAACCCTGAAAAAATTATGCTAAATCAAAGAAGCCATACACAAGACACCATATGGTTTCATTTATATTCCATATTAAATGCTCAGAATAGACAAATCCATAGAAATGGAAAATTGATTAGTATTCTCCAGGGGCTTGGGAAGGGGAGAACAGGGAGTGACTGCTGGTGGGTATGGGTTTGAGCATAGGGGTTAATGAAAATGTTCTGGAATTAAACAGTTGCAATGGTTGTACAATCTTATAAATACATTAAAAATCATATGGCTGGGCACGGTGGCTCACGCCTATAATCCTAGCTCTCTGGGAGGCTGAGGCGGTTGGATCGTTTGAGCTCAGGAGTTCGAAACCAACCTGAGCAAGAGTGAGACCCCGTCTCTACTATAAATAGAAAGAAATTAATTGACCAACTAATATATATAGAAAAAATTAGCCGGGCATGTTGGCGCATGCCTGTAGTCCCAGCTACTTGGGAGGCTGAGGCAGCAGGATTGCTTGAGCCCAGGAGTTTGAGGTTGCTGTGAGCTAGGCTGACGCCACGGCACTCACTCTAGCCTGGGCAACAAAGTGAGACTCTGTCTCAGAAAAAAAAAAATCATAAAATTATAGACTTTAAAAAAGGTGACTTTTATGGTAAGTGGATTCTCAATTTTAAAATTTAAAAAACAAAAATAAAACTTAAAAATTCCTCTCTCACTTTGTACATTAATATCATATAGAAATCCACATACCTTTCCAATAGCTTCAGTGTGATGTTGTGTACATATCTGAAGTCTGCTAACCCAATGTTGTCGCTCTTTAGCATCTGTGGCTGATAAAAAGAATGTAAAAGTTATTTTATATTTATTTATTTTAGAATACAATTAATTGTGTAGGGCATGAAGAATAGATCACTGGCCCTACCCTCACGAGAGCAAATGTCCCTGACCCGAAGGCAGGAAAGAGGACAAAGCATCAACTTTGTCAGGGAACACAGTAGCTGCATGTAGATATTTCTTAAAAGGATAAATTACACGCAGCAAGGTGAGGATATGAGACTGACATGTCTGATGTTTCTCATAAAAATATGTTCTTAAAGAAATAACTGATAATAACTGACATATAATCAACATTTTCAGGTCTGTAGGAGCATGTTCAGTTAGGATTAATATTATACTCTGTGTATTTATTAAATAAAAAACAAAAACTTCTACACAAATTAAATTTCTCTAAACAAAAGTTAGACTTTAATGAATATGGACATTTTAATAAATCCCAATAATGTACACTAGTCACTGGAAACTGCAAAAAGGGCATACAAACCAAACCAAGTAAATGGGCAAAATACATCTCCATGACAGTCATAAAAAATATCATTTAAAGAAGTCTGTGTTTTTAGATTTTCAGTAACCAGAGTTTATCCTACACAAATTTTTTAGAGGGGCCAATCTGAAACAGACTTGCTCATTGGTCTTTTTGAAAAAAGTTATTCATTAAAACAAAATAGATTTGAAAACAGTCCCAAGATTTAGGATATTGTATCTACACCATTGATGATAGTAGTTTCTATTTCCAAAACCAAAATAAAAGTAGGTAAGTACACCAACTTCTCAAAGCAAGAAGAAAATCACAGTATTAATTCTCATATCTCCATCATACCTCTGAGTTTATACTGTTCCCCACTGGCAGCATTTACAGTGAAAGTGTGAGAGTCCTCATCACTGGGTGATATCACGGCTCCTGCAAGCTGCAAAGTACCTCTAGGTTTTTGATTTCTAGACTGTTCATTCACAAAGTACTCCAATAGCCCAGCTTCATTGTTTAAAACAAAAAACCTGTAATGATTTAAAAAATGTAATTTTTAAACATTTTTCCCTAGACAAACTAAAGCTAAGCAAAATTTAATAACTTTTATCAGGGGTCCTCAAACTTTTTAAACGGGGGGCCAGTTCACTGTCCCTCAGACCGTTAGAGAGTGTGCACTGTGGGCCAGGACGTGCCAGCTGCTAAGCAGGACAGGCAGTGGCAGCAAAAATACCCAGAGAGCCAGATAAATGTGCTAGGTGGCCCACATGTGGCCAGTGGGCCGTAGTTTGAGGACGCCTGACTTATACACTTCAAGTTTTTGCTATTAAAAAAATAAAGCTTAAAAGCATTTCAAAAGTACTTGGAAACACTAGACTGTCCTGGCAGTAAAGATGATGGAAAAATTGAATGAGTTTAATAAAAGACACAAAATCTTCAGGTGAGGCATTTAATTAAGTGGCATGTGGTTCATGCACAAAAGGAAGCAAAGGTACAGTATCTTTTCACAGGAAGATTTATATACAGAATTCATTAACAGCAGGGGTAAACTGCCCAAAGATAAATGGTACTGAGAACTTGTATTTAAAATTCACTGGAAATAAATTAAAACATGAGCCCTGAGGTTAATTAAATGCTAGGTAAGATATGAATCTGATTTAAGATTTAATTAGTAGGCCGGGCATGGTGGCTTACGCCTATAATCCTAGCACTCTGGGAGGCCAAGGCAGGAGGATCACTCAAGGTCAGGAGTTCGAAACCAGCCTGAGCAAGAGCAAGACCCCGTCTCTACTAAAAACAGAAATAAATTAATTGGCCAACTAAAAATATATAGAAAAAATTAGCTGGGCATGGTGGCATATGCTTGTAGTCTCCGCTACCTGGGAGGCTGAGGCAGGAGGATCGCCTGAGCCCAAGAGTTTAGGGTTGCTGTGAGCTAGGCTGACGCCACAGCACTCTAGCCCAGGCAACACAGTGAGACTCTGTCTCAAAAAAAATAAAAAATAAAAAAATAAATCAAAGAACACAGTAAGACACAAGGCTGCCCCTAAATGTTTTTACTTATTCTACCCCTTGTATCTTAGCCACTTTCAATGTTTCCTTTTCCTCCACCCTAGATTAAGATATAAGCATCTGGATTTCCTTAAAAGACAAACACTGACATTTATCTACAAATTGAATATCATTACCATGGCCATTAAAAGTATACTGTTTTATGAATAGGGTCTTTTGTAATTATAACTTGTTTATAAACAGGACTAGAAAGTGAATCAAGAACTATTGTCTGTATATCTCAAGCATGCTTATTTTATCTGTCTAAACCTCAATTTCTTCATCTACAAACACAATCCAAAATAACTGGATAGAGGATACAGTCTCCCTAGCCTCATGCCTTAATTCATTTGGGTGTCATGTTTTATATTTTCACCAATCCACTACATAGATATCTATGAGCTCTACCAAATTTAACTCAGTAAACAATGCTTGGAATATTTAGAACTTAACAAACTATATCCTTTGTTAACTAGCATTATTCACTAGACATTAAAAGAGAAGAGAGAAATGGTGATATAAGGCAACATCAAGGATTTAACTATTCTATTTTTGTGTAGCTTTGAAATTTTCTATATATATCAAAAGAAACACCCAAGGCAGGTGAACAAGTGATTTTAATCCTCAGGGTAACTTCTGAGGCAGTTAGAGGCTGCCACTTGGACAGATGTCAACTCTTTCCACTCTCTAAGTACAAAGGCACCAAAGTTTTAGAAAATGTGGTAAATACTTCTCTAAAAGGTTTCCCAGCCATGTTTGTCTGAAGTAATATCAGAATATAAAATTATCAGCCCTTGTTTTCTGATCTCTTAGGAGAGATAGATGTGGCATAAATAATCACACTTACCTGTACTGCCACCCAGTGACAAGGTTGGTGTACTTCATTAAATAACCATAGACATTTTCCATGTGGTCACTGTTTCAAAAAGAACAGAAAGAGCCAAAGTCAGTGAAAATTAAAAGAAATCCCAGGAAGATAACCACGCACTTTGGAAAGTAGATGTAGACACATATATTTTCTATAAATGCCTTAAATTTCTTCTGAAATAAAATTTATAAGTTAACAGAGACATTCAATCCCCAAAATTCCATATCTATAGGATTTTATTTTACCAGATTTTTTCAAAGCAAACATAATATACCATAAATCATTATATATTATAAACTCCAAATATAAAATCATTATGCAAATATAAAATTGCATAAATATAAAAGAAATGTGCTATAAGTATATTATATCATAAATAAAAGCATATTATATATAATTCTTTCAATACTTAAACAATAGAAACCAGTTTTATGATATGAGAATAAACCAAAAAAGGCCTCTAGATTAAATAGTGCCTCCTCACCAGGGCACATAAGAAGCCAATCTGTCATGTCTCTGATTCCTTGGTTTCTAAAATGAGTATCCTGCTTTTGATGAGTGTGACAGCTCACTCCCACCCCATCCCAAATAGGATGAGGCAAAGTGCTCATTACAAGTCTTGCCACTGGAAAGACTTTATTCCGGACCTGTATCATTAGCCTTACTACAACTGAGTTTCTTTACTTCCTGTCCCCTTTTTTCATTTATTACAGGTATGTTCTGTTCAAGTGGTTCGTAGGAAATGCAGTATCTCATTGATATTTCTTTTCTAATATTTTAAGGTTCCTTTTACTTACGAAAAGACAGCAAAGCTAAACCTACACTGCTGTATTGTTCTTATATGTAGGCTTCAGTTTTTCGTTTTGTCATTTAAATTAAGAATTCCTGGCCAGGCTGTGGCTCACGCCTGTAATCTTAGCTCTCTGGGAGGCTGAGACAAGCAGATTGCTCAAGGTCAGGAGTTCGAAACCAACCTGAGCAAGAGCGAGACCCCCATCTCTACTGTAAATAGAAAGAAATTAATTGGCCAACTAATATATATAGAAAAAATTAGCCGGGCATGGTGGCACATGCCTGTAGTCCCAGCTACTCGGGAGGCTGAGGCAGCAGGATTGCTTGAGCTCAGGAGTTTGAGGTTGCTGTGAGCTAGGCTGACATCATGGCACTCACGCTAGCCTGGGCAACAAAGCGAGACTCTGTCTCAAAAAAGAATTGATCCTAGCCAGGTTACAGTGGCTCATGCCTGTAATCCTAGCACTGTGGGAGGCCAAGGCAGGAAGACTGCTTGAGCTCAGGAGTTTTGAGACCAGCTTGAGCAAGAGCAAGACCCCGTCTTTCCCAAAAATAGAAAAATAAGCCAGGCCTCGTGGCGAGAGCCTGTAGGCCCAGCTACTTGGGAGGCTGAGGCAAGATGATCACTTGAGCCCAGAAGTTTGAGGTTTTGCAAACATGACACCACTGCACTCTACCCAGGTTGACAGAGTGAGACTCTGTCTCAAAAAACACAACGATAAATCCACCAAAGATGACTTAAAAAAAAAAAAAAAAAAAAACACACGAAACAAAATTTTGATCCCATGACTGAGTATATATTATTTAATTTTTTTCTGCATTTTTCTTTTATTGCATGGTTAGCAAGCAAACTGTTTATTAAGTGAAGTTGTTCAAGTCCTTTTGGTTTCATTAGGCCACTGATCTCAGGAAGACAAAGGTTGTCAATTTCTAGAATGCTAACCCAAAGTTCTGATAATCAAATATATTATGTTGTGTTCAAACTATAGCACCAGTTAAATTCTCATTTCAGTATTTCCTAAAGCTCACAAATAGAGGATTTGTGAGGATTCTTCTCCAGAAACAAAGCCTCTTGAGTTTTTGATACAGTTCCTATAGGCCCAGCCTCAGGTCGCAACCAAACCATTTCTTTCAGTGCCTTTGGTACTTGGAAAAATAGAGAAGAACTTTTCTTGTCTTTCTCTTACATCTTTCCCAAGCTTAAGGTTTTTGTTGTTCTTTTGAGAGACAGTCTCACTTTGTCACCTGGGCTAGAGTGCCATGGCATCAGCCTAGCTCACAGCAACCTCAAACTCCTGGACTCAGGTGATCCCCCTGCCTCAGCCTTCAGAGCTGCTGAGATTACAGGTGTTCACCGTGATGCCTGGCTAATTTTTCTATTTTTAGTAGAGACAGGGTCTTGTTCTTATTCACACTGGTCTCGAATTCCTGACCTTAAGCGATCCTTCCACCTAGGCCTCACAGAGTGCTAGGATTACAGGGGTGAGCCACCCCGCCCAGCCCAGGCTTAAGTCTTAAACAGTCCTTTGGGACCATAGGAATCCCAATGCCCCTGAACTCTGCCCTGAAGAATTCCTCCTCTGCTTTAGGTATTTAACACACAGCTCAGCTTCTCTGAATAGCTCTTACCTAAAAAACTTATTCTTTGTCCATTCTGTCCTATAGCTCTAAAATCTGAATATTTATATACATTCTGCATCAGCCCACAAAAGGCCTGAGGTGGTACACAACCTAAATTAAATACTTTTTCAAAGTACCAAGATAGTTCATAATTCATCATTTTGAGAATTCCTCCTTTATCTAGGTTCTCTATACCAAGCCTTCATTACTATTAATAGATAAGTGTCAAGTCACAGCCATTAACATGTACTAAAACATCACAACTCAATTATAGTTCAGTCCTCTGGTTCTAAAACTATACATATGTTTCAAATGCATGTGAATTGTGACAAAAAACTTTCTTATATACTATTTATATACTTGAGAAAAACAACAAAATTTTCTTTTCAAAGCCATCAAAGAAAATGCATCATCTCCTTTACTTTTATTCAGTCACTATTCTCATATTAAAAAAGGTATTTCTCATTTTGCTCATATCTGTTATTTATATCAGTTACTTAATAACTACCAATGAATTTTTAAAAGCAGATGATTTCAGTAGCATCATTCAGTAAAAAAAGGCAAAGTGTGGCCGGGCGAGGTGGCTCACGCCTGTAATCCTAGCTCTCTGGGAGGCCGAGCCGGGCGGATCGTTTGAGCTTAGGAGTTCGAAACTAACCTGAGCAAGAGCGAGACCCCGTCTCTACTATAAATAGAAAGAAATTAATTGGTCAACTAATATATATAGAAAAAATTAGCCGGGCATGGTGGCGCATGCCTGTAGTCCCAGCTACTCGGGAGGCTGAGGCAAGAGGATCGCTTGAGCCCAGGAGTTTGAGGTTGCTGTGAGCTAGGCTGACGCCATGGCACTCACTCTAGCCTGGGCAACAGAGTGAGACCCTGTCTCTAAAAAAAAACTCAGCCTTCGAGGCAAAAAAAAAAGAAAAAAAAAACTCAGCCTTCTGAGTTGCTGGGACTATAGGCACATGCTACCAAACTTGACTAATTTAAGACAGTCTCACTCTGTTGCCTGGGTTAGAGTGAGTGCCATGGTGTCAGCCTAGCTCACAGCAACCTCAAACTCCTGGGCTCAAGCAATTTTGCCTCAGTCTCCCAAGTAGCTGGGACTACAGGCATGTGCCACTATGCCCAGCTAATTTTTTTCTATATGTTTTTAGTTGACTGGCTAATTTCTTTCTATTTTTTTTAAGGAAGTTTTGGATTTGTTCCAATTTCACATGTTGAATTTCAGGGACCCGCAGGACATATACAGGGAGATCTCCAATAAGGCAAGCATGATTTGGGACTGGAGATATAGCCTTGGTAGTCATCAGTATATAAGCAAATAACTGGTATTTGAAACCATCCTAGGGTGGGGAACCTGCAGCTTTAAGTGAGCTCCTTAATAAAATAAAATAAAAAATTTTAGCCCTTACATTCTGGTGCTTAATTAATCCGTTCAGAGTGCTTTGCATTTAGTAGGTGTTGTTGTAATTGTGTTGAATTGAAATGAAGGGATTTGAGACTTCAAAAAGTAGTCTATTTTAAAAGCTTCTATATATCTTAAATCTGATAGAAAAGAGTTAAGAAATGTGTGTTATAGAAATGGAGATTTAAGAATTGGAGTAATCATTATTAAGATATTTAGGATGAGATGAGTGTCAAACAAAATATAATAATGCCACTCGGCATAGTTCGGTTAATCAGCTATTTTTTTTATAGATGATCAGCTTCCAGCACTAATCACAATAAAATATTAACAAGTTTAAAAGATCAGAAATATACCCAATTTATTGAGCCGTGTAGTTGCCGAAGGACTGAAGAAATTAATTTTTTCATAGCTTATTTTTCTTTTCTTCTTTGTTGGGGGGGAGTTCAAACCTCTTTATTGAGGGGAAGTGGGGCTCGGAAAGGAAGCACTGAGGATGACGAGATCCACCATCCTCGGCTGGGCCAGGACCTCCCAGCCTTTGCAGTTGAGGAAAGCCATGGCTTATTTTTCAATACATTAATTTTTTTGGACCTTCACTTCTAATTCATAGAACATAAAATAGTATAATGTAATTAGATATGTGCTTGTTCCCGCTTTAAGAATTAGATTTTATTCATATTAACAAGTACATTTAAAATCTTCTATAGACATTCACACATTTTAATAAAAGGCTTTGTTCTGTAAAATTTGGATTCAGTCAAAAGGCCCCAGTTAAGGACCTAGAAGGCCACATGTGGCCTTAAAGCCACAGGTTCCCCACGCCTGCTGGATGGGTTTTAGGCAGGACAGTTTTACGTGCCTAATAATGCAAAGGAGTGAGTAAAACAAGAAAGAGGCTCAATATTCAGGAGAAAAATAGAGGGAAATGAGGGAGAGGTGAAGAATTAGACACTGTGATGGTTGATTTTATGTGTCAACTAGACTGGGCCATAGTGGATTAAATAAGGCAAGGGGAGGATTCGTTCCTTTCCTGCTTGCCTGCTTGAGCTGGGACATTGGTCTTCTCCTGCCCTTGGACAGGGATTTAAACTATTCGCTTTGCTGGGTCTCAGGCCTTCAGACTCAGACTGGAATTACACCACCATCATCTCCAGCTTACAGAATAGCAGATCTGTGAGATTTCTCAGCCTCCATCATCACATGAGCCAATTCTTCATAATCTCTC